AAAAAAAAAAAAAAAAAAAACCCTCCTTCAGGAAATCCGTAATAAAAAATAATAATTCCGTTAGCTTGACCCGATTCATTATTCCCTACGCCCCGGGTTATATTTCCCCTCCAACTTGAATAGACCCATCCAAAAAACAAATATCTTAAATACCTTATTTTAAAAGGCAGTGATCCTTAAATCTCATCCTGACTTCTCCTAAAACCTTGCAATCGTTGTTTGTATCTTACTATTGTCTCTCTCGGTGTCTGTCCTCCTTTCTTGGCCCCGATGGTCTTCCATGTCAGGCGTCTGAACTTCTCCAAGCTGTTCTCCTCCGGTTTGGTCACCGCCACCTGCAGCCCTCGTTCCGCCATGTCTTTGGTCGCCTCCTCAGCCGTGCTGTAGATCCGCATCTCTCCCTCGTAGAAAACCCGCAGTCTCGCCGGGAATGGCGTCTGGAACCGTATTTTCTTCTCTCGCAGGACTCTTTTCGCCTCTGTGTATTCCTTTCGTTTCTTCAGCACTTCCGGGGCATAGTCATGCTCCAGAAAAACTTTTTTCCCCTCATACATGAATCCTTTCTTCTGCCATGCCTTCTTTAATATCTCTTCTTTCACCCTGAAGCTCATGAACTTTACCACTATCGATCTCGGTGGTGAGTCCGGGGAGGGTCGCGGCGGCAGAGCCCGGTGGGCTCTCTCTATCTGGAAGGGAAAAGATGGCGGCAGCTCCAGCTTCTCTCTCAGAAGTTTCTCCACAAATTCCGTCATCGATCCAGCGCCATCCTCCGCCCCCTCCTTGAGTCCATGAATCCGTACATTCTCCCTCCTTGAACGTCCCTCCTGATCCACCAACCATGTTTCGAACCGTTTCTGTAGCTCCAGAAGCTCCATTGCAGCCTCCTCAATGTGCTGCAATCGCTCCTCCGTTTCTTCTATCCGGTTCTCTGCTTTATCAATGCGGCTGTTAGCTACTTTAATCTCCTCCTTAATTCCTTTTAGAGCTTCAGAGTTTTCTTTACGGAAATCTCGCAGTTCCTGGAGAATCGTTTCCAAATTTGCCATGTTAAAGTCGGAACGGGGCTCTGCGGTTTGAGTCTTTACATTCAGCTCCGGGTCCTCTGTTACTTCTTTAGCTGAGTCAGCTAGCTTCAAAGCTACCGCTTCGTTACCGTCGACCTCTCTGTCGTCTAACTCGGGTTTTTACTTTCTGCCGTATTTCCCTCTAGTCATAGTAAATGCCCCTTTTTAAATGTTATATTTCGGACTTTTCGTTGAAAAATTATCAAATTAATCGGGCTTACAAAGATCTGGGTCGAGGAGCTCGCCTTTTAAGCTGCGGCCATGATGGCGTTCCCGGAAGTATCTCTAAACTCTGCATTTTAGCCAAGGTTCTAGAAAAACTGATAAACTCTCAAATCAAAGATTACCTGGACTCATTTAACATCTTACCTCCACATCAATCTGGTTTCAGGAAACAACACAGCACAACCACTGCTTCACTGAAGGTTCTTAATGACGTTGTTGAAGCACTGGATGCTAAGGATTATTGTGCTGCACTTTTCTTAGACCTGTCTAAAGCTTTTGACACTGTGGATCATAACATCTTGTGTCATAAACTCTCAGAAATCGGTTTCTCAGATCACACCATTGGTTGGTTCTCTAACTATCTTTCAGACCGGAGGCAATGTGTTCAACATAATGGTACTTCCTCCAGTTATTTAACAGTCAACAATGGTGTACCACAAGGCTCAGTCTTAGGACCCACCCTCTTTACAATCTACTGTACATAGGTAATGTAGGTAAAAACATCCCTGATACATCCATACATTTCTATGCTGATGACACAGTTGTTTATTGTCGAGCTAAAACAGTTGCTAAGGCTTTCCAGCTTCTGAAATCTGCATTTAACTACATCCAGACTGATTTGTTTCACCTCAAACTTGTCCTAAATGCCGAAAAAACCAAAGGGATGCTTTTTTCAAATAGGAAGTTGGTCCCAGCAGTTCTTCCTCCGATTTTATCCTCAAATGGTGTCCCCATTGAGTTTGTTGATTCCTATAAATATTTGGGTATCTTGGTCGACTCACATCTTTCTTTTAAGCTCCATGTGGAAAACTTGGTAAAGAAACTGAAAATTAAACTGGGTTTCTTTTTCAGAAACAGATCCTGTCTAACCCTGAATGCTAGAAAACGCCTTGTATCTGTGACTTTCCTTCCCTCAATTGATTTTGGTGATATTATTTACATGAACGCTCCTACAAGAACCCTGCAGATGTTGGATGCTGTCTATCATGGTGCACTAAGATTCATAACTGGCTGTGATTATCGTACCCACCACTGCACTCTGTATTCACTGGTTAACTGGACATCATTAACTTCACGCAGACTCTCTCACTGGTACATTTTCATCTTTAAATCACTTCTTGGTCTGCTGCCTTCATACATCTCCTCCTACATGTCTCTGCGTGAGTGCAGCTACGGAGTGCGCTCTCAGGACATTATTACCTGCAGTGTTCCCTCAGTGAGGACTGAACTAGGCAAAAGGGCCTTCTCCTACTCCGCTCCAGTTTCCTGGAATATCTTACAAAAAGATTTGAAGCTCTCGACCTTGACCTCTCTAAGTGGCTTTAAGAATCTGTTGGACTCCTGGCAGGGACCAATGCAGACATGTTCCTGTTTTTAGTTTTATACATTTGTCTCGGAATCTAGCAGTTTTTTTGGTTTTGTTACCTTTTTCCTTTTAGCCATCCTATTTGTTAAAAAAAAAAAAAAAAAAAAAAACTGTAGTATGAGTTTTTATAACTGCTTATTGTTGTTGCTGTTGTCCATTGTTGTCATCTTTCTTTGTTGAAATCAGGTCTCTCTTGTAAATGAGTCCTCGAGGCTCAATGGGATTTACCTGTATAAATAAAGGTTGATTGATTTAGTTCTTATCTTTACCTCTGTGGATATATGCATTTTATATTTTTATCTTGTGTCCTTTGCTTGTATTGTTTCTGCTGTACAGCACTTTGACTGGCCTTGGCGTTATAAATAAAGTGGTATAGTGTACAGAAAGATGCACAGTACCATAATCATTGTGGAGCAGCACCTCCTGTGAGCGCCCCCTGGTGGACAGCGAACTATAAACGATCAGTGTCACGTGATCAGTCAGCTGACCCTCGCGGTCACGTGGGGTACCAGCCGCACTCTGCTCTGCTGCGCATTGTACTTCCTTGCTTGGTGTCACTGAACTGAACTTGTCCATTTTAAGTGTGGGAACCTTCTTTTGTATTTTTTTTTTTTGGAGAATGACGAAATGAAGATAGACTTTCTCGGGCGGGGCCTAAAGAAGAAAAACAAAAACTGTGTAACATGTTTATTAAGCTACAGTTAGAAAATAGTAGCAGGTTAGCTAGTTTGTTGAGAATGTTAAGAGTCATTTCCCTTCAGAGCTGTTAGTTTAACTACATAAACACCTCGTATTGTTTCTTGTTTCGGCTTGAATTTTCTTCTGCGTTCTGTTTCACAGACGACACGGTTCTCCTGCTGTCGGGACACGATGAAGCCTCGCAGAGTGTCGCCCTGTTTGGGGTTAATGACCTGTCTTCTGATCCTCGTGCTCCCGCTGTTCGGGTCGTGTCATCCAGCCGGGTCAGCTCAGACCCAAACCGTGTTCTTGGAGCAGATTAACCACTTTGGACTGGACTTGAACTGGAGGAATCTGTCGTGCTCGCTGTGTAAAGCTGTCTTCACCATTCTTGATGTGGCCCTCCTGGTAATGTTTCCTGCAACACTTCTCCTGAAGCTTTGATCTTTCAGTATAATGTCTCGTGAGAGTGCGAAATTTAGTCTGAAGTTGATCTATTTATTTTTATTTAAGATTATTAAAGGCAAAAAACAGAATGTCAACTAAAAGTTTAAAATGGAGCAAAGATTTGGTTGGAGGAAAAGTCACATATTTGCAGGGTTGTTTTATAGAAGAATTGTCTTTGTTTACAAAAAGGACACTTAAGAATTGAATCCTCTTAAATCTGCGTCATTTAATCCAGCAGCTCAAAATATTTGTCCGTTTATTCAACGTTGTTATCACTTTAAAAGTTTTTACTTCTGTTTTTAACATACCACAGAACTCAAGAGTATAATTTAAACATTTTCTTGAACATAAATGTCAGTTTGCTTACCTTTATTTTTGTGTTCAGTCAGTTTTTTTTTTTTTTTGCATTTCTGTGTAAACAAGGCACTTCTCCATAAATGTTACAGGGTTATTGTATTTTACAATGTAAATGTCGCAAGACCTGTTCCTCCACTTGCTAAAGTGTAACTGATTATGTGCAAAACACATGACCCTTTGTTGTTTGAAGTACTTCCACTGATAATAGCAAACTACCAAGTGGTTTGGAATTACCTTTGCTCAATTTTCAGGAAGTTTATTGTTTTGTCATATGCTGCAAATCGTTTCTGAGGTCTGGGTTAACTGCTTCCTGTTCCGCTTTATTTCCATCAGAGTGATGCCAATGAAGAGCGAGTGGCGTATGCAGTAGGCGAGGCGTGCATCCGTCTGCATCTGGCTGATGAGACTGTGTGTCGAAAAATCACAGAGCTCTTCAGGGATGACTTCATCAGGGCCCTGCAGGAGTCCCTACTGTGGCCCACTGAAGCGTGTGCACTGTTGGTGGGCCCTTCCTGTGGCAAGTTTGACATTTATGCACCGTGGAACATTACTCTGCCAAAGGTTCCCAAACCCCCCGTTACACCACCCTCTCCACCAAAGCCTGGCTCCCCACAGAGCAGGATCCTGTTTCTCACAGACATTCACTGGGACAAGGTGAGTGTAAACTGCGCAGGTGAGACAAAGCATAGGTGCAGGCACAAAGTGTAGGAACTAGCAAACCTCAATATTTGTGTGAGTGTTTATGAAGCATTCACATTATTGTGATCCATTTTTCTTCCGTATTTTTTTCGGCGCGATTCTCGTCCTGCAGTTTTCAAGGTATTTCAACAAATCAAAATGTTTAGCTGTTTTCGGGACAATCCTGCTGTGACTTGTTATTGGTGCACCTTTAGCTTTTTGAAATATTTAGCCTTTTCTGTCTTTTTTTTTCCTCATGGAAAATGAATTGAACTAATCTGTTTACAACCTTTTACTGCTCCTTTCACATTTTTTTCTGGTTCAGCTTCTTTCTGCTTCCTTGGGCAAATTTAAACTGTTTTCAGCTACTTTCAGCCGTTTTGTGATCATGTCAGATTCTTTCTGCTTACTATAAAGTTTTTCTGCTTCTTCTAACTTCTTTCTATTAATTGCAGCTTGCAGCTTTCTGCTTATTTCTGCAAGTTTCAGCTTTTTCTACTATTTCAGCTAATTTAAATTTTTTCAGCTAATTCTACATTTTTTGCACTCATCTCTGCTTCTTTCAGCCTTATTAGGCAAAATTGTGCTCTCTCCACTTCCTTCTGGTAATTTAAGTTTCTTTCTGCCGTTTTTAGCTACTTTTCAGCTGTTTTTTTTTTTTTGTGGCTAATTTCTGCTTTTTTCCCAATAATTTCAACTTTTTTGTTCTCATTTCTGCTTCATTCAGCTTAATTTGTCAAATGTGTTCCTTCTTCTGCTAATTTAAGCTTGTTCTACCTTTTCAGCTAACTTTTTAGCATTTTTTTAGCTAATTTCAGGCGTTTTCGGATAAATTAAAGTATTTTGTGGTAATTTCTGCTACTTTAAGCCTAATTAACTTCTTTCTGCTAATTTAAGCTCCTTTCAGCTTATTTCTGGTAGTTTTAGCTTTTTATTTTTATACTGTTTTAGCTATTTCAGCTACTCTGTAGCCATGTTTATGCTAATTTTGGATTTTTCAGCTAATTCCACTTTTTTGTTAAACTCATTTAAACTCTTTCTGCTTTCTTCTGGTAGTTTAAGTCTCTTTCTGCCTTTTCAGCTACTTTTCAGCATTTTTCTTGGTAATTTCAGCTTTTTTTAGCTAATTTCCTAAAAAATGTTTTGCTTTTTTCTGCTTATTTAAACATTATTTAGCAAATATGTGTTCTTTCTGGTTTTTTTTTTTTCATCTGATGTAGGCTGTTTCTTCCATTTCAGCATGTTTTTTTTTTTTTTAGCTAATTTCAGCTGCTCTTCAGCAAGTTCTTCTGCAGTTAGCATTCACACTGAGAAATGCAATTCCTCTAGTTAATAATATGCTGGCTCTCTGTAGTGCCACGGGTTTAACATTAAATGCAGTTTCATGTTTAAATGATTTCAGGGACACTGATCTCAGCCCATAAATTCATGTACTATACAAACACGAGCTTAAAGTTACTGATTGACTCCACAGAATGGTAGCAGCAAACTTGTTTTGACTAACTGGAAACCAGCAAGTGGCTTCGGTTACATGACTGTTGTGGAGTTCTGCTCTTTAAAGATGTCTCTGCCGACAGGAGTATCAAGCCGGCAGCGCCGCTGACTGTAAGGAGCCTCTCTGTTGTCGCAACAACTCAGACTTCTCCAGGTGGAGGCGGATGAAGGCTGGGTACTGGGGAACCGCCAGCAAGTGTGACCTTCCCCTGCGCACTGTGGAGAACCTTCTAGAAAATGCTGCCAGAGCAGGACATTGGGACTGGGTCTACTGGACCGGAGACATACCAGCGCACAACGTTTGGTCTCAAACCAGGAGTCAGCAGCTCACGGAGCTAACAGTCATCTCCAGGCTCATTCACAAGTACGTTTTTTTTATTTATTTAACCCGTGGTGTTTAAATGCCAAACCTTTGGCTTTGTTGCTTTTAAACAGCACATTTACTTTTTATAACTCCAATATAAACGTTACCATTTGGACTGATTTGGCCATAGCTTTCATGAAATACCCATTATTTTTAGTTTGAAACTGATCCAGAGAGAGTTATTGATTCTTTTTCCTCCCCAGACACCTTGGACCCAACGTGACCGTTTACCCCGCAGTAGGAAACCACGAGAGTACACCCGTGAACAGCTTCCCACCACCTTTTGTTCATGGCAACAGATCCTCGGCCTGGCTTTATGAGAAGATGGCAGAGGAATGGGCGCTGTGGTTGCCAGAGCAGGCTCTAAAGACTTTGAGGTTTGTCAGACGACTTTTATCAGTTATTTGTCATTTTATTATACAGCTTATTTAGCAAACACAACTTGTACGTCTCGGTTGGTTAATAAAGTTAAGTGGATATACCACAGCCAGCACTCGATGGAAGAGTGATCTGAGCTGAGGGCATCTTGATTTTGAGACACGTGAAGTCACTGTGTCCAAATTCAAATCATTATTGTCACAGCGAGTGCTGGGACTAGTATGTCCACTGGTTATGTTTTTTATTCTGACTGTTCTGTGGGTAATTATCAAACTTTGTGAACAAATTGTTGGAGGGTTTTTTTGTCTTCACCACAGAGCAGAAATGTTTTGAGTTGCAGTTTCGCTTTGGTTAAAGGTCACATCTGTCCACAGTGAAACCAGCAGAAGTGGAGACACTTCTCAGAATATTGCACCTTATACAGAAGCCTTGAATAGTAACAAGTGCATCAGTACGTTTCATAAAGTTTAAATTAGATTTATTTTTTATATATTGTGGTCATTTAGATACGCTGGATTCTACACAATGGAGGCTCAGCCAGGTCTGCGGGTGATCTCTCTCAACATGAACTTCTGCGCACGAGAAAACTTCTGGCTGATGGTGAACTCAACGGATCCGGCTAACCAGCTGCAGTGGCTGGTTCACGTGCTCCAGACCAGTGAGGATAAGGGAGAGAAGGTTCGTTTGGCCACCTGTTCTAAAGCGGTTTGGATTTCATGTAGCTGAAGTTGTGGTCCTCGTCTAACGAGCCTTAAGCTTGTTAGATGTAGTCGATGACTTTGTGGCTTTTATTACAGATGTGGGAATGCTTATAAAGCATTTATTACAGATGTGGGAATGCTTATAAAGCATTTATTACAGATGTGGGAATGCTTATAAAGCATTCACTGTTGAGATGCATTATTTGTCTGTATGTTCTTTAGCATGTTCTGCAATTTATTGCTCTTTCAACAGTATAATGTCCAAACATTCAGCTCATTCCTGCTTTGACTTTTGGTACTTTTAGAATTAAATAATATAATAATATCAAATATGTATTAAATATAGTTATTATTTAGTAAATAACTGGAGCTCTCTTTGCTTCTTCAAACTCTTTGAGCTGTGTAAAACATTTTACAGCTTATTTCAGCTCCATTCTGCTTTTTTCTACTTTCTGCTAAATTCAGATTTGCCTTCTCTTTATGTATTTTTCCTGTTAGGCTTTTCTATATATATTTTTGTGCTAATTTTTTTGCTTTATTATTTCAAATCATTGTTTTTTTTCTCCTTAAACCCTCTTTTTGATATATATTTTTTCTTTTTCAGCAATTTATTTTTGCTAATTTCTTTGTAATTATTTGATCTCTGCCTATTCCAGCTTTTTCTGCTCATTTCTGCCTTTTTTTTTCTTCTACTTTTGTTTCCCTTCTTTCAGCAAATGTCACATGTTCCACTTGATCTTGCTTTAACGAATTAGCAACTAAACCTTTTCAGCTGCGTTCAGCTTCAGCAGCTTTCAGCCACAAGCATTCACTCTGCATTTTTGCAGGAACTGCAGTTTCTCTAGTTGCATTTAGTTTCTGGTACTTGGTGATAACGTCTTTTTTTCTTGTGCTATAGTAGTCTACCTTACCATGGTGTCATTTTTTGTTTAGGTGCATATTATTGGTCACATCCCACCTGGTCTGTGTCTCGGCAGCTGGAGTTGGAACTACTATCACATTGTCAACAGGTACCTTCAGTGGTCGTTCAGGTTTATAGAGTACTTCCTGTTAGTTGCTATGTAAATAAGCATTTCAAATTGAGAGGTTGCCTTATTACTAACTTGTTTTCCCATTTCGTTTCACGGTTTGCAAAGAGAATTTTTTGGTTTCTGAATTAGAATTAAGAGGTTACAAAATTTAGCTTTTAATTAAAGAATTGTTTTGATTTTAGGTATGAAAGTACAGTTGCTGGGCAGTTTTTTGGACATACACACCTGGATGAATTCCAGATGTTTTATGACGAGGAAACTATAACCCGGCCTTTAGGAGTGGCCTTCATTGCCCCAAGTGTCACCACTTTTGTTAATCTTAACCCAGGTGAGTCCATTTAATCCCATCTCGCAGGACCTCGTCAGCTTTTCTCACTAAAAATGTCTAAAATACAACTTTTCAGGATATCGTGTTTACTATGTTGATGGGAACTACCAAGGCAGCTCTCGGCTGGTGCTCGACCATGAAACCTACATTCTCAACCTTACGGAGGCCAATCACAGTCCGGGGTTGCCAGGTTTTCCAGAAAAGAACCCCAAATGGACACTACTGTACCGAGCCACTGAGGCTTATGGTATTTCCAGTCTGGTCCCTTCTGACTGCAATGAGCTGTTGCAGACCTTTATCAACAATGACCGGCTGTTCCAAAAGTTCTGGTACTTCCGATATAAAGGACACGAATCGGGGCCCTGCATTGAATCCTGCAAAACCACCATGCTGCGCTTTCTGCGAAGCGGACGTTACAGTGAGCTGCAGCAGTGCGACCACCTCAACGGTTTTGGAGGAAGCCTCGTCCGGGCTGCTTTAAAAACTCTTTGTTGACAGGCTTGTTTGGAAGGGTGGCCAACAGCAATTTAACCAAAAATGAGCCAAAAGAAGTCTCCTTGTTGCAAGTTGATCAACAAGGATTGCACATATTTAATAAGTAGCCCTAATTGTTACAGGCAATGCAGATTTTTGAAATCCAGCCTAATTTCAGTGTTTTGCCTTAAAATCAGTATTTATGGATTTTTTTTTTTTTTAGGTTTATGCAACGACAGCCTAAAGTTATGTTTAAACCTGTGGCGTTTACTTGAAATGCACAGAATTACTGTAGGCGAGTCGATCGAAGCCATCGTAATTGTAGCTGCCTTTTCTCAGGGATTGCGTAAACATGTCAAACAGCAATCTTTGCTTTTAAAGTTGCTTTTCTCTGGGATTTTACTAATCGTTTCTTTTTAAGTTGTAACGATGAAGTCTCTTGAAACTGAGTATTGTTGCATTGTTTTGAAAGTTTTAGATTTTCAAGAGTGATTTTAAGTAGGTCAATTAAAACAAATGAATTGAACAGTTTAATGATGCTCTAAGCACTTTTGTAAAAATCTAGGTCAAAGCTTTGAATCGTTTCTCAGACATCTAACAATGTTTTACGTTTACTTCTGTTTGCACTTTATTTTGATTATTGAAAAGAATACATCCTTAATTGGTCATAAGAATAGAAACGTTCTCCAATCGAATGTAACATTGCTGTGTAAAAGCCATCGATTGTGTGACCTATGAAATAAAAAATAATCAAACTTTTGTCCAGACCTTGACCTACGCTGCATCGATGAAGCCCACCGCTTCATCCAGGTTGATGCGTGTGTGGATAATTGAGCTTCAGGATTATTTGTGACTTCCTGCCAGTTCTGTGAGCTTAATAGATCGTTACTTCTGACTTTGTGTTGCAAAACTTTCCCTTTCAGCAGAAAGCAGCAGCCGAAAGCACTGTTGGCTTCTGGGTATTGTAGTTCTTTTGACTGGCGTTACAGTATAGGCTTATTGAAAGAAAACTACAAAATGGTGACGCCTCTCCTGAAGTATTTTTTTTTTCCATTGACTTTTTATCCCATACCATCCCAATCACGTGAGTCAGTGGTTCTCAACCATGGTCCTTGAGAAACATCCATCCTGCATATCCTGATGCATGCTCAATAATCCAGGTAGAAAAATCAAAAAAAGTTAAATCTGCTGAATACAGCACCTCAGACTGAGGAAGTCTTTCGGATGAGACGAAACGTATCTACATGTTTTTGCTTTGTTTTTTTGAATGTCCAGAGGACCAGATTGAACTTTTTTGGACCATCCTGCATGTTTTAGTTGTTTCTCTGCTCCAACACACCTGATTCAGTGATTTAATGACTTCATCAGGTTCTGCAGCAGCCTGTTTATTTTATTAACCTATATTTAACCAAGTAAATCCCATTGAAAACACAGATCTCTTTTGCAAGGGAGGCCTGGGCCTGAAGCAGACTAACATGCATGTTTTTCCTCTGTGGGAGGAAACCAGAGTACCCGGAGAGAAAACCCACGCAAGCACGAGAAGAACATGCAAACTCCACACAGAAAGACCCCAGGTCCAATCAGGGTTTGAACCCATGACCTTCTTGCAGTGAGGTAACAGTGCTAACCACTAATCAATTGTGCTGCCAAAAGACGCCCTATTAAATCACCCATTCATTTAAAATCAGGTGCGTCAGAGCAGGGAAACAACTAAAGAATGCAGGATGGTGTTCCTCAATGACCAGAGTTGGGAACCCCTGACATGAGTAACATTAAAGTAGAGCATGCATCAGAATATTAAAGTTGACAATTGTTGAAAAACCAAAGAGAGAGTCCGCAAAAGTCGAGCCGTGAAGTAGTGAGGGACTACTGCAATGCGTTTTGTCATCAGCAGTTTTAACATTTTTTTAATCTATTTTTGAATAGATGCAGGGATTCAATAGACCTGTCTGGAAAAACTGACTTGGAGCTCCCTCCAGAGGTTATTAGCTCCAAGTGATGGGGCTTATTTATCCAACCAGGTTGTTTTGCTAGTAAAGTGAAACCAGAACTTCTTTGATTCACAGCCAGACAAATGAAGCGAAAACGCTTAACTAATTGATAATACAAAAATAATTTCACTCGCTGGAGGAAATTATGTTTATTAGAAATATTTTGAATGTTTTCATTTACATTTCATATTCAAGTGCCACAAAGAAAGTAGTTCAGTAAACAGAATTTGACTGAGGTGGTGCTGCTGCTCTCAAGATCGCGATGTTTAGCTGTTAAGTGCAAATTACTATCGTTCAAATAATAATGATCCGTCGTTGGTCAACATGACATTTTCCCTGTTCCATTTGTTCTTGTAAACATGTTTTTATTCAGAATCGGAGAAGAACACGGTGACGCCAAAATCCTCCTTGTACAAGTTCCAAGTTTTGGGTTTGTGTGGGTTGTCTAGCTCTTCTCTGGGCAAAAACAGCCTGAGGACGGCACAAACACAACAAATATGTAAGAAAGTGAACACCGTTTTTTTTTTTTTAGAGCAAAAGAAGTTTTTGAATTATTAAAGCTAAAGAAAACGCACTGATTATCTGCTATGAATGACGTATTGAACCAGAAGTAGAAAGGAACGTCTTCATATCCTTTTGGAAGACCCTGATGATGAATAAACAAACAAACAACACTAAGAAATCTGAGCAAACAAGCTTTTCCAACATATTTTAAAATGAAAATATAAAAAGGAACTTACTGCGCTTGATTCAAACATAACTTTCACATCTCCTTGCACTACAGGACCGTTGTGCAGGCTGATGACGGCTGCATTGTTGCCAGCATCAGGAAATACCTTAAAAACAACCAGAATAGGTTCAGCTCTTATAATATATTTGTTTTGATGCATCGCACACAGAGTGCAAGACTCACAGAGCAGTTCTGCTGTTTGGCGCACACACACTGAAACACCAGCTCTTTCTTCACAATTATTTTCACCTTCAGATCACTGCCGTCACCTTTACCCACACCTGGGTGAAAACGGCAACAAACAAATGCACAGACTGGAGCTTTCTGCTGGTGTAACTGTGATTAGAGGAGATTTAGGTTTGCTGCTTTACCTGCAATAGAGTGGATGCGGATGCTTTTGATCCGGAGGCTTTTAGGCGGAGGCAGTTGTCGGTTATACTGAGTTTTCATGGTCTCGTAGTACCCCACGTACCGGCTCTTTTGTTCACAGACAAAAAAAAAAACAACAACAACAAAAAAACAGTGTAAGTAAAACATAGTACAAGGTTTACTTTCATTCTCATCACATGTGGTACATGAGGTGGAATAAAATTGTGTACTCAAGGTCCCAGCCCACGCAAAAATGGCAAAAACATAAATTATATATAAAAAAAATAAAAAGAATCAGTATACAAGGATCTAAATATACGCTAAACAATAATAATGTAATAAAATAAAAAGGTGCATTAAACAGCAGCCTGAACATGAGTCTTGTGAACGTGACTCAAGGCCCAAATGTAACCGGCGCCAGACCTAGGGTTAACTGGGCCAGTAACATGTGATTCACAGGCTAAGAAGTGCAGTGGATCTGTGGTGCACTGGCTGTGGCTCAATAAAGAGAACGTTGGATTAGCATCTCCAGCGCCATTTTATTTCTGATTCGCACTAAATAGAGCTCGAGAAGAAATTGTTCAGCGTGAGCCACAGGAGCGCACGAGCGCCACCTACTGCACTGGTGGAGAAAGTCCACGATGTGTTCAAGTCACTGTTAACAGCAGTAAAAAATTAAGAGGGGTGTCCATTTTATATTATAAGCTCTAATATATAGAGTTTTCAACCTATTACGCTCTCCCCTGATTCAAGAGATGTCTCTTCACATCTAGAACCAACTAACAAAGGCTTTCAAAAGTCAAGAAAGTCTCAGAGTCATAGTCAGAGTTTCTTTATTGTCATTCGCACCTCATGTGGTACATGTGGTGGAGCGAAATTATGTACACGGGGTCACAGTTACATCCAACAATAAAATGTCTAAGAAAAACAGTAATAATATCTAAGATATGAACTAAGAAAAACATCAACTAAATATACACTAAGCACTCATAACATAAAACATTGAACATCAGCACAAACATGAACATGAGTCTGTGAGCAGATGTGCACGCATGAACACATCAACATTGAAACAGATCAGCAGCAACATGAAACAGATCAGCAGCAACATGATATGGTTTTTCACAGTGATTATTCTAGTTAGAGATTCGTGAGTCTAACAGCCTCAGGGTAGAAGCTGTTCCTCAGTCTAGTGGTTCTGCACTTAATGCTCCTTAACCTCCTTCCTGAGGGGAGTGGGGCAAAAAGTGTGTGTGCTGGGTGGGTGGGGTCCTTCATGATGCAGGTGGCCCTCTTCCTGCATCTGGAGGTGTAGATGTCTGTGATGGTGGGGAGACTGATTCCAACAGATTTCTGTGCAGCCTTCACCACTCTCTGCAAAGCTTTTCTTTCTGCAGCTGTGCAGCCTCCATGCCACACGTTGATGCTGGAGCACAGGATGCTCTCCACTGCACACCTGTAGAAGGAGGTGAGGACTGAGCTTCCCAGACCAGCTCGCCTCAGCCGTCTGAGGAAGTAGGGTCTCTGATGAGCTTTCTTGATCAGGCTGGTGGTGTTGTTGCTCCAGCTGAGGTTGTCATTCATGTGTACACCCAAGTACTTGTAGCTGGAGACCACTTCCACCGCAGATCCTCTTATGTTCAGGGGGGTGTAGGTGTTTTTGTTCCTTCTGAAGTCCACAATCATCTCCTTTGTCTTCTTCACATTGATGTGAAGGTTATTCTCTCTGCACCAGCTCTCCAGGTGTTCCACCTCTTGCCTGTAGCTGGACTCATCATTGTTTGTGATGCATCCCACCACCGCTGTATCATCTGCAAACTTTACAATGTGACAGCCTGGATGGGTAGCTGCACAATCATATGTGAGCAGAGTAAACAGAAGGGGGCTCAACACACATCCCTGAGGAGAGCCAGTGCTGAGGGTTATGGTGGAGGAGGAGAGGTTGTGGATCCTCACTAACTGTGGTCTGTTTGTTAAAAAGTCTAGTACCCAGTTGCAGATGGAGGGGCTTAGTCCTAGTGTGGATAGTTTGCAGTCAAGTTGTCCACGTGAATGTCTAAAGTCACAGTCTAGGTCATCACAGGTCTAACATGACCATACTGGTGGATAGTAACAGAGTTCAGGAAAAGCTGGGAAATTTGGCATTGGGTAAGGGACACAGGTGAACATCAGGTTTGCTTCAAGCCTCCAGGGCTGGTAAGAGTCATGTTGAGTCCAGCTAAAGGACAAGCATTCACTGGAGGAATGCATACTGTCCACAATCTTTCATGTCAAGGCATTTAACGAAAATCGTCTGTCATGTTGTAGTCAATTGGTCAAACCTTGCAAATGACATCATGCACAATCTCATGCCAGATCTTGAGAGGTGCATTGAGGATGACTCAGCAACTACCAGACCACATTTTGACTCATTACCTATTAAATGTGCTGAGTTATAATCATGTATGCGTTTCCTACGACTGACTAGCTGTGGCAGCCATCCTGAATTGAGTTCACTCCAAAAACTCTGTAAACGTACATCCAATGATTACTTTCTACATTTATCAATTAAAAAACAATCAGTTTATCAGATATTTTGCTAATATGACTAACAAGCAAACAAGCATAAATTTCACACGTTTGTATGGTGGGTGAAGCCAGGTTTTCAGAAGAGCTGGAGCAATATTTCACCTAAAGTCACCCTAAGCGAGCTGAGAGAAAATTCTGCTGCATTTCCAAAAAAGTTCAATCAGGTCATCTGGACTGTTTCTTTTTTTGTTGAGACGTATCATCCTTCATCCAAAGGACTTCATCAGTCTTAGGAGCCACAACAAACTGAGTCCCACATCAGAAAACCCACATAGTGGACCAACCAGTTTGCTGGTGATAAGATGGTTTCTGGGGCTGATTCTTTCCCCCATCGACAACTCTGAGGCAGTCATGGCCAAAGTGGTTCAAAACATAAAGTTCATGTGCAATAATCCGGGTAAAAAAATCTAACAAAGTTCAGTCAGGTCATCTGGATGGCTTCTTTTTTTTGTTGAGACGTTTCGTCTTTCATTCAAAGGACTTCATAAGTCTTTGAGCATGAACCTTGAGCTGCTGCATTTCTTTTTTGGGGTATTTTTTGCATTGTAGAAAATGAAGATGCATTTTAGATATACTCAAGAAAGTGTGTTTTACTGCCAAACATTTCACAACATTGGTAAATACTGGGGCAGCACGGTGGCGCAACTGGTAGAGCTGCTGCCTCTCAGCGAACAGGTCCCTGGTTCAAACCCCGGTCCAGGTGCCTTCTGGGTAGAGTTTGCATGTTCTCTCCGTGCATGCGTGGGTTTTCTCCGGGTACTCCGGTTTCCTCCCACAGACCAAAAACATGCATGTTAGGCTGACTGGTAACTCTAAATTGTCCCTAGGTGTGAGTGAGAGTGAATGGTTGTTTGTCTCGTTTGTTTCTATGTGGCCCTGTGATGGACTTGCGACCTGTCCAGGGTGTACCCCGCCCCTCGCACAGTGATTGCTGGACATGGGCACCAGCGACCCCCGTGACCCAAAATGGAATAAACGGGTAAAGATAATGGATGGATGGATGGTAAATACTGCATCGTCTGTGTACAGTAAATGTTACATATTATGGTACTGCTTGGTTCACCATACACATTACGTATTAAATACTTCTGAAAGATTTGACTTCTATTTTTTTTAAAATGGCTGCACCATGCCTCTTAGATTTCAGTATCATCTTAAAAAGGAATAAAAGGTTAAATTAAAAATGTCTTTTGAAGCACATTCTTACCTGAGAAGGAGTCTCCACTCCCTGAAACTTGGAACTTTGACTTTTATCTGTCCTCCTTTCACCAAAATAGTCCAGACTGTCCTGGCATGTAAACAGAAATACATGTAAAGTAGCAGCTTCGTTTCAAAATAACGGTCTCAGTCATTAACTACGGCCAAGACAAATCACAAACTGCAAATGCACCTGTGCACTTTCAAACTGGTCATTGTCAATGAGCCATGTGCACACCATAGTTCCAGTGCGTCCTGTGAAAGACAGCAGTGGGATTAACATTTGGTCTAAAGATTTCCAGACACACTTGGATAGCAACAAGTCTTTAATATCACCTTTCCCTCCTTTACAGTGAATAGCAATGATGTTTTTAGGGTCAGCAGACATCCACTCCCTCACACTTGACGTGTATTTCACCATGTCCCTGAAAAAACAGAGCACAAACGAACACGCTGTTGATAAACCCTGTTTTCTCTGACCTCCTTTCTGTTGGTATGGATTAAAATTTGTGTAGCCTAGAAACATGATTTAAAAAACATATATACACAGTCCCATATTTTTTGGACTCGCTGTCGATTTTTGAGAAAATTAAAAGGATTTTAAGTGTGCCTTATAGTCCAAAAAATACGGTAGTTATGGTATGAAAAAGCCTCTAAAAATTGTAACCATGCAAATTGAAGCAAATAAGGCAAAAACAGAGGAGTCTTACTCCAATGAAGGGACATTGTGGTCATCAATGAACACCCGTTCAACCCTGTAGTGGAAGAACTTGGGGTCGTAGCCTTTCTCACCTGGAAACAAGTTGCTCAGTTCTATGTGAAGGAAAACAAGCAGCATGTGACCAGAGGAAGAGCCAACTTACTGCAGAGGTTGTAAACTCTGTAATGATCTCCATGTTTAGAGTCTAGAAACCTTGCAACCTCCTGCACAAAACACAGGACAGTTTATTACTCACAGGGTGCACAATTCAAAAGCATGATTTCCTAAAATGATAGCTGTGTGCACGACTACTTCTCGTTTGCTCCTACTTACCCTGACTGGATTTCTGTAGAAGGCCTGCTTCCCTGAAGATGGGAAAGACATGGCTATGACATTGTCTGGAGAAGAAACAGACGGCACATTGTTTTTTATCATCATTATTATTCACATTTCAGCATATTGCACATCAAATAAAAGTTTGGTTCATTTGAAAAACACAGTCCAAGTATCAAAAAAAAAAAAAAACTACAAGCATTTCTCACCTACCTGTGACATAGGTAAGATCAAGGTCAAACCCATCCTTCTGATAGCGCCTCTTGTTCTCAGATACCTGAGGGAAAGATGGCCATCCTTCCTGTGTTACTTCTTTATGTTAAACCAAACTATTACGATCTTACACAGAGACCTAACTTTGTCATTAACTAATCTGAATCACTTCCTGATGATGAACCCACCATCCTCCTGGTGACTTTCTCCAGCTCTTTTTTCTGAGACGCCAGTCTGAAAATCCTCACAAAGATGATTATTCGCAAAAAGCGCAGGAACGTCACGACCCTGGCAATGACACGATGGGAAACACCAATATGAACCTCTCCTTCTACCCAAAAAAAAATTGGCATTTTTTTTGACTTACGAATATAACATGGCATGCTCAGAAGTTGGAAATTCGGAGGAAAAACTCGCACCTGGGAATGAGGCTAGCACCTGACAAGTCGCTGAAAGTGTAGACCATGGTGACCGCAAGCGTGATGACGACAACGATGGCGTCCACGATGTTCAGCTTCGAGCTGAAGTACACATTGAAACTAAAAGAGACCAATAAAAACCATCCAACGTACTGGTTAGAAACTGGTTGGCTGCACTGAGTGACCCTGTCCTTGCATTCTGCAGTTCAACACATGGAATACATTTCCTGTCCAGCTTCCTCCTCACGACTTCCTGTTCTGCAGCTAATCTCACCAACTTTCTGCTGACAAAAGGACTTGGGAATGTTTGCATAACTCCTCAGAGCAAAAGCAGTTGACCGGTGACAATTTAGGACACATCCTAACTGTTGCAAATGTAAGGTGGGTGTCATTTTAAGTGTTGGATTCATCAGAGCATGCAGTTCTTTCTGGAATTCAGAAAGGCTGAAACTCACCCTTCCACATAGACTCGCAGGAGAACATCAGCAAGGAAGAAGAAGGAGATGGTGAGGGACACAGCTTCTAGAAAGTTTCCGACATCCCTGCTCTTTGACGCCAGCGAGAAGTCCACAATCACGAGCACAAAGTCGACAATGATCAGTACCACTCCAAATACACTGCAGGGGAACAAAAAAACCCAACACAATAAGGTTCGCTCTTTGAAACTCATGAAGGAATGGAGACATGTCACGCAACGAGACTCACCGAAAGCCAAAGGACATGACAAATGGAGAGACTGCTTTACGAAGATTGCTGCGAAAATGAGGGAGTCACACTTTTAACTTAATGTGATCCAGAGGAGTTTTAAACACATTTAACATCTGCAGTCTATGTTGGACTGTAACTTACTGGTATGTTGTGTCTGGCAACACACTCTCCTCCTTCCCATCATCAATCTCTACTTTTGCATCCTCCATCTTTGCAATTGTTCTGACAGTCAAAAGAGTTTAGACAGAAAAATGCATTCTTTTTTTTATATATTCTTTTTTAAACAAGGGACAACAGACAAACATCAACAAAAAAATGCTTCTCACCCATTAACTCCTGAATCTGAGCCTGGGTGAAAGTAGACAGACATGATCTGAGACGATTTATCCTGGACTTCCTGAAATTGGATTAAAAAAATAAGCTATTTAAAAAACGAGACACAAATGTTTTCTGCCTCCCAATGTGTTCAGGTTTTAAAATGTGCTTCCAAGTCGAAGTTGCAGTTTAACCTTAGAAAACTAAAAACTTTAGGCACAAGTTGAAAAGCTTTACAAACATACCTGGGTTTAGCTGTGAACACCTTCCGACTAATTATCTCACCGCGCCGTCATCGGTAAAATTATGCCACAACTCGTCTTGTGACTTCTTGTAAGGACGGAGACAAACGGCTCAAAGGTTAACCGGGTAATGCTTTTCTATTTATCCACTAAATATGATACAACCCCTTCTCCCACCCACTTTTTTTTCCTCCTTTTTGCAAACGTTGCAGTTTCGTACTTCCTGCTCCGTTGTTACGCATCTTCGCTTCAGCCAACTTCACAATCGGGGATTTGATTCGTGCATTTTTGTAGTTTTCACTTGAGTTTATTAATACAGCGCCAAGTCACAACAGAAGTAGTCTCAGGGCAATGGACAGAAACATTCACGTGCATTCCAATAAAGTTAGATCAGGTCAGGGGCGATTCTAGAATCTGCCATTTAGGGGTGCTTAGCCCCCTCGGTGTTGCCAGATAGAGTTGAGGTTTTCCAGCCCAAAAATTTGTTAAAAACCACCATGCCACACAAAAACCCGCCCAATCAATATATTGTTATATTTACTGTTTGAACATGAACGCACATCAAGACAAGGTAATTTAACACTATGTGGCAAAATGCAACAATCCAACAAAATCTGCCCCGAGTTGTTCGCTGTAAACGACTCTGAGCCACGGCAGCAAGGTCCAGTGAGTATCCCGTGACACATCACATACTAACGTGTTTGCAGATGGATTCATAACAACCATGTAGACTGCTCCTCTTTTGACCCTAAATTTTCTGCTTTTGAATAGACAAGACTGAGGTTTTAATTTTTGGACCTGAGCATCTTAGGAATAAATGTTTCAGTCTCTCGCCCTCCTTAATGACATTAATCTGGCCTCCAGCTCTGATGTTAAAAATATTGGTGTGATTTTTGATCAGGACATGTCTTTTAACCCTCACATTAAAAACATTACTAGAACCGCCTTCTTCCACCTGTGTAATAAAAACCAAGATTCAACTCGTGTTGGCTTCCTTATATAGAGAACTTTACTAATTGGCTTTTTTATGTATGGTAATGCTCCTGTAAAGTGCCCTGAGACAACTTTGTTGTGATTTGGCGCTATATAAATAAAATGAAATGAATTGTAATATCGCTAAAATTAGAAAAATCTAAAAGTGATCCAGAAAAACTGGTTCATGCATTTGTCATGTCTAGACTGGACTATTGTAGTGGTTTGTTATCTGGGTGTCCAAATACTTCTTTAAAACGTCTTTAGTTGATCCAAAATGCTGCTGCCAATTCAGAGGTGAATTCAAATCTTACTTCTAACCTACAAAGCTCTCAACAACCTAGCTCCATCTTATATTTGAGATCTTATTGTTCCATATTTTCCTAACAGAGCACTTTGCTCTCAGACTGCAGGGTATCCCTATGAAAACCACCCAATCTGGCAACACTACAGACGTGCGAGCTAAGATGCTACAGATATAGCGCTCTGCTTTACAAAATCAGTTTAGTGTGAACCGATTGTAACAAATAAAGACTAAACTTATGCAACCAGGCAACATATACAGAACATACAAAACAAAAGTAAAACTAGCTTTAAGCATCCATCTTTTACATTTCTCCAGACTCTGTTTATGTTTTGGAAATGGAATAAACTGTACTGGTGTCATCGGTGTACTTTGTTTAAAACAAGTCTCTTGTAAAGAAGTCATAGCAAAAATGAAGATGCTATCACTGACTGTGTGTCAGGATAATGACAGATTCCTTCAGTGAAGCTGTGCTCAGGAGAATGAGGCTGGTTGGTGGTCCCAACAGGTAAGAACTTTACAAATAATACAAATTTTGGTCTGATTTTCCCACAGGGAATATTGTGGCACATTTTGCATTCTTGTACTGAATTTTGAAAGTTGAAAAAATATACAGTACCTTCTAATGTACTTTTGACATAACATGATCTTTCTAACTATAGGTGTCATGCAGCCAACCTAAATGGAAATTTCTACCGCAGGGTGAAAAACAACGGGATAGTACAGGGGACCTGGAGAGGCTCGTGGTATTCTCTTAGACACGTCGCCATGAAGGTGCATCCCTTGGTTTTCTTGGAAACCGTGGGAAGTAGAGCAGGAGACATTTAAAAGCATCAGGCCTTAAAACAATGTGGGTAAAAGAACGAGGCAAGAAACACTCAGACATTTCTATTTTAATCGCTCCCTTTGCTTTATTTTTAAATTTGTCTTAAAATATCAACATGGCACCACATTAAAGTGCTGCAACCTTTTCTTTCTCTAAATGTATATTCCTATGACAATAAAACGAGCAGCATTTCAGCCACGCAAATGTTCCATGTCTTACCACCCTGAAACATACAAAGCTACCATAGATCTAACTTCTGTATATTGAGAATTAATCTGTACACAACAATTTTGCAAATGCTCATAAACTACAGATATGGTTCTCACTGCAATGAGCAGTGGGACTTCAAAGTATTGAAACAGCAGATTTAGTACTTTCACTGATATGACTTGTGTGTAACCAAACTAACTGATGAAGGTATGCATTCACATTAAACAGACTTAGTGTTACAGTAGTGGGCATACAGATTATTATTATTTTTTTAAATAAACCCAAAGACATATTATCTTTAAATGTAACATTATCATATAGTAATAACTGTTGTGTGGATACATAGCTGTCCATAAGGTAGGAGTTGTGACGAACATGTTCTAGGTTCCTCTCATGTGTTCTTTCCCTCTTCCTGTACAAATACTGAGAACAGATCCAAGTCCAGCATCCTCTCCTCTGCCTCACTCAGCCTGTAGGGAGAGACACTACAGTTGTAGTTTTTAGACTTTGGCAGAGAATGGCACCGCTCTTTCCTTGGCTCAGAAGGTGATACACTGAAGCTGGAGCTACGCTTGCGCCCATTGACTCCTGAGCAGGACTGAGCCTCCTTCAGCTTACGGGCCAGCATGTTCCTCTGGATAGGCGATGGGCCACGACGGTTCCAGTTCTGCTCCGCTTGATCCACACTTATTTGGTTCGCTTTATGAAATCTGGGAATTCCTGAGGGTGGACCCCCAATTCTTGAGGCTGACGCTCCACCTTCTGGGCCACCAGCCTTTACTCTTACTGCTGTTCCACTGAGGTGTGCGTCAGCAGGTTTCTTGGATGCTAATAGGCCATTTGTGTTTGTTCTTGTGTGTTTGAATTGATTATCAAGTAAAGAAACTGGTGTTTCCATCCAAGGCTTTTTATGGTCATTTAACTGGGGTTTGGCTTTAACCCACTCCGAGACTGTATGCTCTGGAATGGGGTTTGAACGATGTGGTTGTCTCTCCCATTCTCTTTTGGTCCAAACACTTCCTTCTGGAAGCATACAAGAGCCCACCTGAGAAGGACAATGTGAGACCACACGTTAATTCATTTCAACCATAGGCTGTGCAAATTTAAAATATGTAAACTGAATGCAGCCAAATAAAAATACAATAATTAAAGATGCACAGTTGACCTGAGTCATGCTTCTTTCTCTGAACTGTCTGGAGTGAGCTGGTGACATCAGCTGGGGTTTGGAGTCATTAAAACTTGAGGTGCGCCTGAAGTGTGGATTCTTATGGCAGGTGTTTTCAGACAAAGCATCTCCTCCTTGGCCTGCCAATCCACTCCTCTTTACCATTTCTACCCAATCAGCGGTGCGTTCTTGACAATTTGAGCTTCTCCTACTTGAATGAGCAGAGACATGTGGACCTAGAACGAGCTCCAATCTGGGACTCAGTCTGTCTGACGTAACTTTTGAGGTCTCCTGCAATAGCTCCGATAAGGGTGTTGCAATACAAAGCTGATTCTGATTAACGTTGTCGTGCGGTCCCAAGGGAAGGGCAACATGAGCAAATTCTGTCAGGGTGGAAAAAGGGGAGGTAGTGGGTGAGGCAGATGTTTCTCCCATGGTGTTGACGACAGGGCTGGAGGAGACATGGTATAGCTGTGTGGCCTCTTTTAACCCCTTCTTCTTCATTTCTTTTAACTGCTGCTGAGCCAACCGGTACCTATACAGAAAATCTTGTAAAGACTGGGTAAAGGTCAAATCCATTTGGTAACAATTAAAGTAAACAAATATGTAAACATACCCAAATATCGGTGGTAAAACCTTCTGGCCTGTGGGAGACAGCCTTTCTGGGTCCTGTGAAAGTGACATCACCAGAGACTGAGTTCGAAAGGAGGGTCTGTCCTTCTGGGAACTGATGTCCCCTGATGGGCCATGACCATCACACAAGCTGGGCCTTTGGAGACTGTGGCCACAGATGGAGGCCTCATCTGAAAGTTTGCGCCCCCCAGGGGAATGCATGGAACCTCCATGAACTGAGCTGCACTGAGGTGCACGACAAAGCTTTTTCCACACCGTTACCACAACGGTAGTCGTGATCACAGCCAAGCAGAGGAAAATAGACAGCACCACAATCATGTTTCCATCGAGGGGTTGAACTCCATCAGGTACAGGGTAGAGAGATGTAGGAGAAGATAACTCTGAGAAGTGAAGATAAACATTAGTCTTTGCTTATTGCTAAAAGCAGGCATCATAAACTGAAAGAGGCTGGTTTTACTACACTGGATGACCTCTAAATAATTGAAAGTTTGTAAAGTTAGTGTGAGGAAACTGACCGCTGCAGTCTTCCAGTGAGCATAGAGACTGCTCCTTCATCATTCCCGTGCAATGCACTCCTCGTACACCTGAGGGCAGTAAACAATCACGCACTCGCTCCCTCACCCCCTCTCCACAGCTCACACTGCACACGCTCCACGACTGCCAGGGCCCCCAAGATTCTGCATTGACAATGAGAAAATGAAAAGCCAGGATTAGCACTTTATTCTAACCTGCCATATTACGCAACATGATCAGACAAAAACACTGGCTTTCAACATGACTGCTTAATGCTGGGGGCAATTTAAAATAAAATGCAGACATAACACACAGCTGAAAAATACAATATTTTGTATATTCTTTCAACCAATGGGGTTGCAGTTTTTTATTGACAATTTCAACAGAGTATCTATGAAATACTGAGTTGGTGACCTTACTTTTCAAATGCTTATTAGTGCAGATTTTAAATTATGCTGTGATAAACTGTGTTGACCTTGTTATGGCTTATTTAGAAGAAACTCAGTAGTAAAGTGCACTTTCAAAACATAATCGTTTTCATACAGTTGCAGCAAATATATCAAGAAAAAAATGTGACGACGACGTTTTTCAGGCATAGTGTGTCACCCTAACCAGCAGTCAATGTGCGAGAGGCAGGGGACACCCTGGACAGGTTACAAGTCCATCGTGGGGACACATCGAGACAACCATTCACTCTCTCACTCACCCCTAGGGACAATTTTGGGTTACCAATCATCATGTTTTTGTTGTGTGGGAGGAAACTGGAGTACCTGGAGAAAACCCACGCATGCACGGAGAGAACATGCAAACTCCACGCAGAAAAGCCCCTAGCTGGGATTTGAACCGGCAATCGCCTCACAGAGAGGCAGCAACTCTACCAACTGTGCCACCGTGCCAGCATTTTTGGACACAATAGCGCAAATAATCATTAAACAGCCATTAATTCAAAATGCAAACAAAAAAAAATATCATTCAAATATCTATCTATCTATCTATCTATCTATCTATCTATCTATCTATCTATCTATCTATCTATCTATCTATCTATAGATCGATAGATCGATAGATCGATAGATCGATAGATCGACTTATCGATAGATCGACTTATCGATAGATCGACAGATCGACAGATCGACAGATCGACAGATCGACAGATCGACAGATCGACAGATCGATAGATCGATAGATAGATAGATAGATCGATAGATCGATAGATAGATAGATAGATCGATAGATAGATAGATATAGTAATTTCTAAGCAGGTAAAAAATAGCTTACAGCTGAGTTATTTCCTAAGAAACTCCTCCTCTCATACTGACAACACTGAGCTACAAAGAGAAGTAAAGCTCTGCTAAAGTGTATACAGCTGCAAAAAATGAGTGTATATGTCTGTTAGATCTCACCTGCACTCCTGTAGACAACCAGACACGTCTGTGTCGAGCTGGGGGAATGGCTGAGGTTGAAAACAAAATGAAAGCAGTACTTGTTTTTCCCTGGGTAAAACAAAGAGCAGTTGAATTCAGTCTCATTCTGTCCTTGAGTCAACCAGTTGGCAGCCAAAGGAGGATAAGAAGGTTCCTCTGGTCCAAACTCCATCACTGCAGAGGCAGCACCGCCTCTTCCAACATCTGCATCGCTGTACAGCAACACTTTACCGTTGATGTAAGCGCACGGTGGCGATGTTATTTTAACAGTCACTGTTCCCTCACAGCCACGCTTGTAAGCATGGGCGTTTTCCACCAGCAGTTTATAGGAGAAAATGCGTGACAGGTAGAGAGGTCCAGAGCTCTTTACTTCTTGAGCTGTATGCGGCGACTTCAAAGCCACTTTTATAAAGTCCTTCTCAGTAAATGGGAACGTACAGGGCAGCTGAACACTCTGGGAACGGAGGGGTTTGATTATTTTTCTTGTGGTAGCTTGAATCTTGTCAGTGGCGTTCCTCCCTATCTGGTTGGACTCCATGTAGTTCACTTCTAAGAAGAGGGCGGAGTCAGTGCTGCTGGAGCAAGCCCGAAACTGCTCATTTGTGGATATCCCAACCTGGAGAGAGAATAACACAAATAATATTTTTTTATATTGTGTTACAGTACAATAAAACCAAACTGATGTGTAAAGTTAAACAAATGATCTTGTTTATCTTGCCTGAAAAGACTGTGAGTGGTTTCCTGCTCTCTCCACAGCAATATGAAAGGTGGGCCACTGCACCTGTAGCTCAGAACTCCACCACCAGGTCGAGCTCTTTGTGCCAGTGCTTTCTGTTCTGTTTGCGTGAGAAACAGCTGCGATGCTAGTCTGCCTCATCAGGAACCGGAAAGTTCCTGCATACAGGAAGCAGGAACAATCGAGCTCCACCCTTCCAACCAGTTGGTTGCTGGGAAGAGTCCTGGTTAGAACGGTGGTGTTGGTTTCCATGTTGACCATAGAGAGGGTCGTGGTGCTGATATTGGAGTTTGTGTTGAAGTCTACAAGCACATTGCCATTGCTGAGGGCGACGTGAAACGAGGGCCAGATACTGAGCCCTGCAAAAGCTAAAAAAAAAAAAGTCTAAAAATGAAAAAAAATTGGAAAATGAAAGGAACCTTGGTCTGATCTTGTCCTCGATGACCACTTTTTAAAATTAATTTGCAGAAAATGACTTGTCTTTTAACATAGGTATATAAAGTTGTCTGATGTCTGAACTATATATATAAAAAAAGTGGAAACAAATTAGAAGCTTTTGTTTTCAAGTTGAGTCTGTTAGAGAAATGTAATTTAGTTTTTGACATAATTAAGCATCAAGAATATCTAACAATTTTAGTCTAAGATATTAATTTAGGAACTAGTAACTTGTCTTATACTACAATAGTTCTATATATGCCTCCTCTGTTAGATTTTTATGAAACATGAATCAACAAGAACTTTATTAAAACAATCTTTGTTTCTCACCATGTCCTACAAGCAGCAGAAAGGACAGCAGTGAAGCAGCCTGTGGCATTCCGATGTGTGTGCCTCTTCTTTTGTTGACACCACATGACCGTCTTATCCCAGCATCCTTCACCTCTAGAAATCAGAAGGAAAACAGCAAATAAAATAAAATAAAAAAAACCTATAATTTATAAAAGCAGCAATCTCAGACAAAAAAAGGGCAGGCAAAGTGTGTGCTTCCTTCTGAGGAATGAAGAACAGGACTTTATGAAACAGTAAACAGAGGTCCTCCTCTTCCTTCCATCCTCACAATGGGTTCAAGGAGTTGCCGTCATCACACAGTCGACATTCCTCTGAAAGACTTGGTTGACAACAAATAAACTAATTTGTATTTCGCTGGCTGCAAAAAAAATTTCTTGTAGATTTCCAAGAATACCTGATGTTTTCACAAAAAGAAATAAAGCAAGTATTTTTCAAGTCATGAGGCTCTAAATGAGTTTTTAAATGCTCCTCAGATATGTAATGTATATGTTTCTGCAGTGCCCAGGACTGAGATGACTTCTATTGTGACTTGGCGCTATTGAAATAACACAATATAATAAACTTAATAGTGTCAGTTCTAATTGCAACTCCACGTGCATGAAACAATGTATTTTTATTGATCCTGAAGGTTGAGTCTATATATAAAATATAATAAAAAGTCATGCAAACACTTTTTTCATACAGTCAGAGCTCCATTGTGTTAGTGTAAAAGTGTATATATGTTTTTGTTGGACATTTTCAGTACTTTTTTATGGTTCTAGTAAGGCTTTTGTCAAGACAAAACCCAAAAATGATCTCACATGTATGCATAAAATGTTTTCACATACAAAAAAAACCTTTGCAGAAATATTGAAGTCAGTTTCATGAACAAAATAAGTTGATTATATGTCGATTAGTGTGGACTCAGCTGGTACCAGATTAAATTATGTTCAATGTTCAATATTGCACTGATCAATAAAATCTCAACAAACTGGAAAAGAGCTTACTTTTTTAATGAGTAATTAATTAAAAGCAACTAGACTTTATTAAAAAATACTAAAGTGGTAGTAAAGTGTCTCCAATAGTACTTTCTAGCCCTAGCTAAATATTTTACTAGCAGTACTGTTTACACCTGCGGTTGTTGAAATTAATAATATTGTACTTACACGTCTTATCTCACGCATAATTTCTGTATTCTTCGTCGAACACAGCAGCTGCAGAAAAAATAGCATTTCCACGAGCGAGCTAAACATTTTCTTCAAATAAACACATGAAACAAATCGCCGACAATCAGCGCGAGGCAGCCAAAAGAGCAAGGCTGCGCGCGCATCTCGGGTTTGGGTTGACGCGCGTGCCAGAAGTCCCGCGCGCTCATAAATTGAAGTGATATCACTTCAGCGGATCCACCGACTATTTTCCACTCCATGACTTTTTTTTTTTAAAGCATTTAAAATTCATCCAGCTAGCCTCGTTTAAACTTATATACACGCAGCGTAGCAGTGGATACAAAAGCCAACTTTAAACTAAAGCAAACATTTACATTTTGATCTTTTTTTTTTTTTAATAGGGGTTTATCATTCACGAACTAAAATGAAGACATTCATTTGAAAGTAGTTCATTAAAGTTGGATTGTATCTATCAGCCATACTGAAAATCCTCAGTAATTAATAATGTGAATTTTAAAAATGTATACCTTCATGAGGGCTGGTGGAAAAGGTGCAGGACTTCAAGTACTTGAGGTCAACTGTCCAGGAAAATGGGGAGTGTGGTAAAAAGGTGAAAATGAGAGTCCAGGCAGGATGGAGTGGATGGGGAAAAGTTTCAGGAGTGATTTACAACAAAAAAGCATCAGCAAAGGACAAAGGAAAAGTTTACAAGCCAATGAATGGTGAAACCAGCGATGTTGAGACAGTGGCATCGACAAAAAGACTGGAGAAAGAACTGGAAGTGAATGAAGATGTTGAGGTTCTCCTTAGGAGTGAGAAGTTTGGAGAAGATTAGGAATGAGATCATCAGAGGTACAGCACAGGTTGAACAACTGGGAGATAAAGTTAGAGAGGCCAGACTGAGATGGTTTGGACATGTCCAGAGGAGGGACAGTGGGTATACTGGTAGCAGGATGTTAGAATTTCAGCTGCCAGGAAAAAGACAAAGAGGATGGCCAAAGAGAAGATGAATAGATGCAGTTTATCAAGTGTGTTTGCAGGCTCCTCTCTGAGGAAAAAACAACACTCTAACTCACAAACATTCATTTAACGTGACAAACATCCATAAACCTTTGACAGAATGCCCTTGACACTAAATGCCTGGTCTTCACAAAGCACTAATAGTGCACATATATTCATGCAATAATCGTACCTGTTAAGCTTTCTTGCAAGTTTCCAAGTAATCACCATAAAATTTGATAATTATTTCCACATTGACACCCCCACATAAAATGTATATTAGGTATTATTGTATCAGTGATATGAAACAAACATTAGGTGAACTGAGGTAAACAGCAGAGGTGTACCAGATGATTTCAAATTAAAATGATCCATTCTGTAGAATCATACATGAATCCCTCTTCAATATGAACTGCTTCAGCTCAGTCCTCAATATTTCCTGAACCAGCTGCGTTAATCTATTATCAATAAGAGAACCACACAGCAGGGGAATCTAATAAGGTTTACAGACTTTTTAAAACCTTTTTCTGCAGTTAGGCTTTTTACAGAATATATGTTCAAATAAAATGCTGCCAGGTAATACGATTAACCTGATCAAATTGTAGATTTAGTCTTATTTGTTTTTCTTTATATACTCCAACAAAACTGTCTGAATTTGATGGACAAGACAGAGGGGCAAACAAAATACTAAAACTGAAGCAGCAAGGTTAATAAAACATTTAGATTTTTTCAAAAAGAGGACAGGAGGACCAATTAGACTAACAGTTTAATGCAGAAAGTCACTTTTATGGTTAAACCAGTGGCTGGGGGTGTTTTATAACAGCATGCACTACAAAAGAAGTATATAAATATACAAACCGGATTCCAAAAAAGTTGGGACACTAAACAAATTGTGAATAAAAACTGAATGCAATGATGTGGAGATGGCAAATGTCAATATTTTATTCGTAATATAACATAGATGACAGATCAAAAGTTTAATCTGAGTAAATGTAACATTTTAAAGGAAAAATATGCTGATTCAAAATTTCACAGTGTCAACAAATCCCAAAAAAGTTGGGACAAGTAGCAATGAGTGGCTGGAAAAAGGAAATTGTGCATATAACGAACAGCTGGAAGACCAATTAACACTAATTAGGTCAATTGACAACATAATTGGGTATGAAAAGAGCTTCTCAGAGTGTCAGTGTCTCTCAGAAGCCAAGATGGTAAGAGGATCACCAATTCCACCATTGTTGCGCAGAAACATAGTGCAGCAATACCAGAATGGTGTTACCCAGCATAAAATAGCAAAGACTTTTAAGTTATCATCATCAACCGTGCATAACATCATCAAAAGATTCAGAGAATCTGGAACAATCGCTGTGCGTAAGGGTCAAGGCCGTAAAACTCTACTGGATGCTCGTGATCTCCGGGCCCTTAAACGTCACTGCACCTCAAACAGGAATGCCACTGTCAAGGAAATAACAGAATGGTCTCAGGAATACTTCCAGAAAGCATTGTCAGTGAACACAATCCACCGTGCCATCCGCTGATGCCAGCTGAAACTCTACAGTGCAAAGAGGAAGCCATTTCTAAGCAAGCTCCACAAGCTCAGACGTTTGCACTGGGCCAGGGGTCATTTAAAATGGACTGTGGCAAAATGGAAGACTGTTCTGTGGTCAGATGAGTCACGATTTGAAGTTCTTTATGGAACACTGGGACGCCATGTCATCCAGACCAGAGAGGACAAGGATAGCCCAAGTTGTTATCAACGCTCTGTTCAGAAGCCTGCATGACTGATGGTATGGGGTTGCATGAGCGCTTGTGGCATGGGCAGCTTGCATGTCTGGAAAGGCACCATTAATGCAGAGAACTATGTTCAGGTTCTAGAACAACATATGCTCCCATCTAGACGTCATCTCTTTCAGGGAAAGCCCTGCATTTTTCAACATGATACTGCCAGACCACATTCTGCAGCAATCACAACATCATGGTTACGTAGGAGAAGGATCCGGGTACTGAAATGGCCAGCCTGCAGTCCAGATCTTTCACCTATAGAGAACATTTGGCGCATCATAAAGAGGAAGGTGCGACAAAGAAGGCCCAAGACTATTGAACAGTTAGAGGCCTGTATTAGACATGAATGGGAGAGCATTCCTATTTCTAAACTTGAGAAAATGGTCTCCTCTGTCCCCAGACGTCTGTTGAGTGTTGTAAGAAGAAGGGGGGATGCCACACAGTGGTAAAAATGGACTTGTCCCAACTTTTTGGGGATTTGTTGATGCCATGAAATTTGGAAACAACAGATGTTTCCCTTAAAATGATACATTCTCTCAGTTTAAACTTTTGATCTGTGATTTGTGTTCTATTCTGAATAAAATATTAGATGTTGGCACCTCCACATCATTGCATTCAGTTTTTATTCACAATTTGTTTAGTGTCCCAACTTTTTTGGAATCCGGTTTGTAAGAATGAGGAAAATGTATATTTAGCAGAATGACACGAATAATGACCAACATTGAGACTGAATGAGTGTCACAAACCATGGTGCACATCTTTAATGATTGTTTTAATGCAGTGTCTAACTGCAAAAGTGCTATAGCCAAGTTATATTCCAACAATTATGTAAACAAATCAAAAAAGGTTTGCGTAGAATCTCAGACCCTCAACTGAGTCATCTCTGCACAGGTGGCCCATCTTCTCTGCTAGCATTAACCTGGAAATGAAAAATAAATAAGTGACAAGAAAAAGCAAAACGATGAGAAACAAGCAACTCGATGTTTTGATTGTTTTAACAATGTTCTTCAGCAGAACAGACGCATTATGAGCAAGTTACGTTAACGTACCGTTCTTTAGAAAGAAGAACAGAGAGACCGAGAAGCTTTGCAAACTCCTCTGCTGTCAGAGAGCCCTTTTCTGTCACCTGAGAACGAGAAAGAAAAAAATACATTTACCAGGTGGTGGAGGAGAATCAGAATCAACTTTATTGTCATTGCACCAGAGCACAACGAAATTACATTTCAGTACAGCCCGTCCAAGTAAAACATAAACAGACATGGGGAGACAGAGGTGTCTGAGGCTGTGACCTCGTGGGAGGCGCTGCCCTTTTCGTTTAGATAGAGGTGTTGTATGTTAGTAAGGATTCAAACTTACACTATCCAAAGCAGAGGCTATCATTTCCTCTTCACTGTGAGACTGCAGCTGGACCACCATGACACCGCTGTCAAACACTCGCAGCCTCCAGGAGAGACATGAGGGAAAAACAAGTCATTGTTTTCCGAGTCTAAAATCTGAGCATGACTCAATACAGAATCTGATTGGATAAAAAAAAAATCATATCCTGCAGCAAGCTGCATTAGACGTGCTACAGCTAGCTGCTACTGTTGACAAATTACTATGTAAAAGAGTATAGTGCATATTTAATAGTAATTACAAATATAGTTCCAGCTTCATTTAGCTAAAATGTTTAAATGCACTGGAACCAGTATTGCAAAGCAACAGGGAAACAGGCCAGTGTTTTTCTAAAGCCATGAGTAACAGGAAGTAACAGGAAGTAACAGGAAATGACGGCTGCAGAAGCCAGGACACCCTTTCCCACAACAGGAAGTCAGGCAGGAAGAGCCTGGCCTCTCTGCAAGCCAGGCAACAGCCTCATCCATTACAATAAACACACAGTCTGCCTTATGAGCACACACAGATCATTTAAAGTGTGCAACAAAAACAGGTCATACTCACCTCAGTGGGAGCTTCAATGACTCAAACATTTTGCAGGCATTTAACAAATCTTCTGGAGATAAAAGCTACGAGGAAAAAAAAAGAAGACTAAATACATGTACTGATGAGATGTGTAGCCGAATCAGCTGGACTCAACATGCAGACATGCTAATGAACTGTGACAGGTTTGGTGAATGAGTTTGTCACGGGAGCATCACCTCCATTCCTCTTGCACGGTTGACAAGACAGTAAACTTCTGTAAGAGCCATCATCCCTCCACGCTCCTGAGGGGGGAGGGAGCAACAGGAAGAACGTATGAGAAGAAAAATATATTATGTACAAAAAAGTACTAGAATGTGTTTTGAATCTTTTTGGATGTAGAACGGTTGACACACACCTCTAGAGGAGCCTGCAGCATGTCTCCTAACTGCTTGGCCAGCTGCATGTGATAATGTGTGCCTGATCCGTGGGTTTCCCTGGTAACGGGATTAGCAATACCCATGCTCAAGAGGTAGGACTTAAACCGTATTGTCTGTAAAACAAAATAATTTCAGATTTAATAAGTATCATTCTACTTTGTGTGCATTAAAGGATACAGAATGTACTAAAAGGCATCATGTGTACACTAGGGGTTGAACGACTACATACTTTTTAAACTCAACATTAACATAATAAAACTCGAGTAGAACTCGAGTACTTCATGACGTCATAGGATCTCAAGATGCAAAAATAAAAAAAATTAATAAAACCGCAAAAAAGGTCATTATTTACAAAAAATGACCAACAAAACATTGGGAGCATATATTATGCTCCTACCATTTATCATACTGCAAATAAGTCACAGGAAATCTAAAACTATTAGTTACTATTATTAAGCTGCAAAAGTGAAAGAAACGTGCTGCACGTCAAAAACAAAACTAAAAACAGTGGGGCGGACGACCACTATGCACCACCGCCCACAGTGTTGTGCATTAGGTTTAGTTTTAGAGATTAATATGTTTATAGGTTTTTATAGGTTTAGAGATTAATATTTTTTGCTTTTAGTTTGTGAAACAAGGTCAGAGGAAGCTGGTTCGGTCAATGGACCTGGTGTTACGCCACATTCTGTGACCTGCAACAATGCATAAAACACCGCCCCCTTCGGTCACAATATATGGTGGTCACAGAATATGGTATAACACCGGTTCACACCGAGCTCCAAACAGTCAGGAAGTTGACTCATTTTCTGTTTCCTTACGGTAGTTGAACCGGAAGATTTATCTTTAGTGAAATATTTCCACACTATTGATGCATTTCTACCTGTTTGCCAAGACTGGGCCTGCTCCGCTCAGTCCATCTGCTGGGAGGAATCCATTTTGTAACCCGCGCCCGGTGCGGATCACGTGACACGTGACGCAATGATGTCACCACGAATACTCGACGTGAAATTTAAAAACTCTATAATGTCCTATGAATCGGCGTGCCGATTACTCGAGTAGTCTGTTAAAGCCCTAGTGTACACAAATAAAGACTTTTAGGAGTAACAACTCCAGCTGGTTAGATACCTCATCCTCTGTTATGTCTCCCTGCTTATCTTTGATCTTGGTGGCGATGGATCTGGACAGCTCCACCATCTCTTTAGCCTGTCGGAAAGATAATCGTTTAGCAACATGTGTATGAGGTTAAGTGTATTTAATACTCCAAAAGTGTAAGCAATCATGTAGTATAACTTTGAGTTGACAAAATGTAACTTATAACTTCAAAAGCATGGGATAAAATGTTATAGATTACAACAAAAGCATCCTTTACCTTCACCATCAGCTTACTGAGGTCCTCAAAGGCCTGAAAACAATAAAGGTGCTCAGAAATACTCACAGTTAGGAAAACAAAGTTTTAGTTCAAGATCATTTTTTTAATTCCATTACACAGACCCCACTCCCAATATTTGGCAAGTTGGCGTTGCAATATGCTGAAGATTGTCAGTCTTTCAGAACATGGTTAATTAATAAATAAAAAGGTTGGAAAACCAAAGTGCACTCCTGTTCTATAGCTGAAGACGTTTTGCTTCCCATCCTGGAGGTTGTATCAGTTCAAAATGTCTGGAGAGCGTGGAAAACTTTTTCATAACGATGAGAGTTCTTATGTTGTACTTGGATTCAGCTGCAAACTAGACTCAAAACCAACATCAATACTGGCAAGAATTATTTTACAATCTTTTCATGTATTTTATTTCTAACAGAATAAAACAATGACGGAAATAAAAATGTTTATAAAAAATGTGTTGAACCACATTTAACATAGTGTTGTGTTGTTACATGATTTAACTTTTGACATTTCCTCTGCAATGGAGAATTTACCTCAGAAATATTCTTGTCTGTTTCTTTTCTCTTCTCCTCTATCTTCCTTTCAATGCCGACAATTCCCACAGCGCGTGTCCTTCCTGTCTACACGACCGTTCAGGAAAGAAAATGATACAGTTAAACTCAAAGTTGTTTTTTTATTGTAAAAACTTGCAAAGGACTTCATTTAAACAACAAAAACAAAACTCCGGGTAGTTAGAAGATTTATAGACATACATTTGAATGTGTTTGAAGTGTTTTAAGCTAGATAAAAAGTTTTATTTGTATTTATTTTGAGACAAATGACTTATTGCAGATGAAGTAACCGATAGAAACAAAGACACTATTTTTCCGGACAAAGCAAAAATGATTTAGCTGCTCAAGGCAACAACTGTAATTTGATTTTGAACAAGAGACTAAAAATACAGAAAAACACTGCCATCTAGTGGAGCACATTTTAAATTGCAAGCAAATGAAAAGTTTACACAAAACTTATAAAAAGTGCTTGTATTGCAATTGTTTGTTTTCTGGGTGTCCAAAAACTTATTTAAGAGGTCTTCAGTTAGTCCAAAATGCTGCTGCCAGAGTTTTAATGAGTTGATGATAAAGATCATATCTCTCCAGTTTTAACTTCTCTCCATTCATTCCCTGTCAAATCCAGAATTGAATTCAAAATCTTACTTCTAACCTACAAAGCCCTCAACAACCTAGCCCCATCTTATATTACAGATCTTATTGTTCCATATTTTCCTAACAGAGCACTTCGTTCTCAGACTGCAGGTTTACTTGTGGTTCCTAGAGTTTCCAAAAGCAGAATGAGAGGAAGATCTTTCAGTTATCAGGCTCCTCTCTTGTAGAACCAACTTCCAGTATCTGTCTGTGAGGCTGACACATTGTCCAGTTTTAAGACTGGGCTTAAGACTTTCCTTTTTGACAAATCCTATAGTTATGGTTGGTTTGGGTTTCCTGAGCTGTCCCTTAAGTTATGCTGCTATAGGCTTAGACTGCTGAAGGACAAACTGACCACATTTCTTCACTCTGCTGCTGTCTTTACTTGCTCTACTCTATCTGTTTTGTATTTGTAATTGTTCTATGCTTGACATGTTTTTGTCTTTGTTCCAGTAGGAGGTACACCTGCACCTAAACCTGCACCTGCCATTCTGTGTTCATTTGTTTCTCCTTCCTGTTCCTCTCAAACCCAGCCAGTCGAAGCAGATGGCTGCTCGTCCTGAGCCTGGTTCTGCTGGAGGTTTCTTCCTGTTAAAAGGGTGTTTTTCCTTTCCACTGTTGCCTTCGTGCTTGCTCAAGATGGGAGACTGAGACAAAGTGAAGATTCAACGAGTCTGCTGGCTTCCTTCCTCAGATAGACAACTTATACTAATTGGCTTTTGTATGTACTGTATGTGAATGATTGTGTTCTGTGCCCCGAGACAACTTCTGTTGTGACTTGGCGTTATATAAATAAACTGAATTCTGTTTAGATATTCAGGTGTACGATTTGATGGTAAAGCAATCCCATTTTACCTTCTGTAATCTGTAAAAAAAATAATAAAAAGATCATGGTGAAATGAGGAAAGTTGTTTGATCAGTGTCTTACCTGAGACCCAGCTCCAGTGGAAATGGGTTGTGAAACTGGTGTATTCTCCCATCTTCTCTGTGTCATCTCCTCTGTTAGTCTCCTGTAAAACTGTAATGAAAAACACTGTATCACTTCCAGACAATGAAGAATGAAAAACAAACAAGGAATGATAAAGTAAAGAGGAAGTAAAGAAAAAAAAAAATTCCAGCTTTGAGATAATATTTAATTACCTCAATTTGCCCGTGTTCTTTAAAAGACATCTTGATGTAGGAGAACTTGCTGTTCTGTAAGGGACCGGGTTCCTTACTGGCAGCAGAAGGATGCAGATGGACAACTATTTTTGCACTACAGGGTAAGAAATACAAGAAATTTAGTTTTATTTTTGTGAAAATGTTTTTTTTTTTTGTAAACACTGACTTCAAAAACAGTTATTTAATAAAATGAAAAGAGCAAAATTGACCAAGGACCCTTCCATTTGCTTTTGTTCAAATGTTTAAACATATTCCACCATCTGGAGTCTATCCCTCCATTATCATGCTCGAACTACTACTTATGAGATGATCAAGTTTTATCTTTCAGATAACTACAAGTGATGACAGCTGAACAATCAGCATTACTGAAATGCTCATTTTTAAGCTTCTCTAAACATTTGCCACTGAATCCTTATTGTAAGTTTTAAAAATCAAAATGCTGCTCGTTGCCCTGTCACACTATCGTTTTAGAGAATCAATGAAAAAAAGTCAAACATGTTGGTGTAAGTCACGTAAGTTAGATGTAATTTTGGAATAAGCTTCAAGCATATTGATATACTGTATAATTGCAAATTAATGATAATTTACATGCACAAAATTTTCAATGTTTGCCGACGTGTTGCTCATAAGTTCGGCATAAGTTCCAGGTATGGAACAGGTAAGTTTAGTGTAAGTTCACACATGTTTGTAAGGTACTTATAACTTCACATACGTTGGGAACCAGCTGGTGAAGCAGATACAAAACATATTCATGCGTTCCACCTCAGACACAAAGACAAACACTCCTCCGCTTTTTCACAGAGATGAAGAACAGGCAAAGGGGAGGAGAGCAGCTCAAGAGAGGGGGATTCCCCACTTGACAAACACGTGGTCGCAGTGTTGCCAGGTGTACGATAATTATCACATTTGTAGACAATTTTGCCATCTGTATGATGTACGATCAATAATTCCAAAAAAGGCCAAACATACGATAATTTGACCATTCCGTGAATGTGTGGTTGTAATCAGTTGTCGTCAGCCTCTCGCAACTGTCTGTCAGAATTTTTTTGTGAACCCTGAAGGCATCTGTGTCCGCAAACAGATGCACGATTGGCTGGAAATTCCAGAATAGTCCGCTGCGCCTGCCCCATGAGTGAGGAAAAGAAAAAAAGAAAAGAAGAAGAAGCAGAGTCGGTCTGGAAGCGGACCCATCACTACTATAGTGCATCAATAGATTTGTTATTTTGGTTATGATGGGTGTATGATAATTTCCCTCAAAATACGATAATTTTATGTTTAGTACGATAATCCTACATTTCTCACCTGGCAACACTGCGTGGTCGTGAAGTACATTGTGCGCAATGACTCCACTGTGGTGCGGCTCTATTGAACAGCTCTATGAAGCAAACAGATTGTCAAGATCCAGCTCCCATCATAAAGGCATATATCCCATCGCCTACTACTTTATATACAAGTGAACCACTAAATGCTGACAAAAAACGCTGGCTGTAAATTGAAAACAGGAGGTTTTCTCACCAAACAACTGTTGTTTATCTGAATTTGGCCTCCCCGCTGGCCTTCGATAGGCCAACTTATCTCAAATTGCTCCTGGAGGATACGTAAACTAAAAGCTCTGCCTGCCCCCACTCCTGAGGACACCCGTGGCCTTATCACAACCATGATGCTGATAGACACTGTACCATCTTATCAAAACTTTGGAACTTTCTGAAGTGTTTATGGATAACTCACCGGCTTCGTCGACCTCTATGCATAAATGTAATATAATGTCATTGTATGTTGCTGCTTTATATTGCGAGGTCTTTTTTTTTTTTTACAGTTTTCCGGACAGGAAATAGAGTGAGACATGATTTTTTTTTTGGCTTCCTACATCCTGGTGTTCTCTTTTTCTCATCTGCCTGTATGTTGTCTCTCTTTTAAATGAGTCTTGGAGGCTCAATGGGAACTAACGTTTATAAATAACGGTCTAATAATAAAAAATTTAAAAAACACTTTCAGTAAGTTCTAGAGTCGTCAGCTAAATGTTTAATAGGTCAATATAAGTTGTAGAATAGTCTGATATGTTAAATATGTGTTAGAAGTCAGTTGCTCATGGGTTATAAATAAATATGCTTCACAATTGTCCAGCAGGTTTCTGACGTATGTGAACTTATGTAACGTGTGAGAACTCATACTGCTGTATTCCTGTAACGTATGCCAAACTTATCAGCAACAAGTTGGCATTTGCAGAAAATTTTGTGCAAAATTATTGGCTGGCATCAGCATATTAAAAAAAAAAAAAAGCCAAAGTATATCAGTGTGCTGGTAGCTTATTCAAAACTTACACCTAACTTATATAACTTACATCAACGTGTGTCTAGAAAAATTGGTTCTTCGGCACATCGACTGCATGATCCCGGATACTGTCGACCCTCTCAAGTTTGCCTATTGCCCTAATCCATCAGTGGATGATGCAGCAGCAATAGCCCTACACCATACACTGTAACACCTGGAAAGCAGCAGAACATATGCCAGGATACTCTTCATGGACCATAGTTCGGCTTTCAATACCATCTGCCTGGGCAAACTAATAGAGAAGCTGACAGACCTCAGCGTCCTGACTCCCACCTGCAACTGGATCCTGACAGACCACAGACGGTGAGAATGAGAGGACGGGTGTCGGCTGAGCTTACAGTCAGCACAGGATCCCTGCAGGACTGTTGCATCAGCCCAAAACTATTTATCCTGTACACCTATGACTGTGTCTCCACCCAGCATAACACCATCGTTATTAAATATGCAGATGACACCACTTTATTGGGGCTCATCAAGGGGGGAGATGAGTCAGGATACAAAATCTTAGTAGATAACATTATTACCTATGGAGAAAAAAAATGACCTCATCCTAATATAGACAACACCAAATAAATCATATTGAACTTCAGGAAGAACCCTCCTCTTTACAGCCTCTCCTCATTAAAAGGACTGAGGTAGGGAGGGCTGATAGTCATATATTCCTGGGTTACATCAGACCTGAGCTGCTCTTACAACACCACCGTGAAAAAATCCCAGCAAAGGCTTTACTTCATTTGGCTGCTCAGGATAGCTGGTTTGACTGTAGGAATCACTGTCTGATATAGGAACACCACACAAGCAGAAAGAAAGGCACTGCAAAAAGTAATAAAGACTGCAGAGAGGATCGTAAGGACAAAACTTCCTTCCATGGACTCAATGTACAAGCTGGACTCATCAAGGACTCACTCTATCCATCTTACTCTCTACTCAGACACACACAAAAAAAATCATAACTTGAGACAAAGTAAAGTGGACAGTATCATCAACCATCATACAAGTTTTTTTTTATATTTTTTTCCCTGCCACAGATAGACTGATGGAAAAATAAAACAACTACTGAACAGGTGCAATAATAGCCTTACTCTATCTAACTTAACTCGTCATGTAACATGGGAAGATGTAATCATAATCACTTTCTGTACAGTGTAGATATAATCTACTTTATTCTTTTTTAATTTAATCATTTTTGACTCTGAAAGAGCTTTGCACAAGAATTCTAACATGCCTGGATTGTTGACTTTATGCACAAATGGCAAATAAAGTATTCTGTACGTTGTGCTTGTCTGTTTTTATACACTGATGCTGTACGTCACTGTGTGACAGCCACCCCCATCATGGGACGCTCCAACATGCTCTGCATAAGTTCGGCACAAGCTACACTAACGTTGCTCGTGAGCTTTTCATATGACAAAAAATGTGGACATAAGCTTGTATAAATTATGTATAAACTAGGGATAAGTCCTGGATTATATATTCGTTCAATTCGTTACCAGTGCGATATGTATACAGTACGCTCAAGAAAGGTTTCCAGGTTGTTGTTGTTTTTTTATTCCATCTTCAGCGTATGCCAGTGTGTTGGACAAACTTTACATAAGTCAACACATGTTCTCTAAAACGTTATAGTGTGACAGGGCCTTTATATGCAAAACCTCATCCATGTTGTCTAAAAAATGTCTGTCTACAACACATAATCAGCATACTGTACCTCTTTCCTATTCCTGCAGCCTGCTCCTCAAAGAAAATGATCTGAGACAGGGGGATGGCCATGCAGCACTCCTACAAAAATAAAGAAAGAAATAAAAACTTAACTGGAATTAATTAGACTTATAAAGAATTTAATGTGTTGTTAATTTGATTGTTTTGGTTCCAGATTGAAAAATACAAACACAAAAAACACAGTGTGACAAAATAAAGCATCCAGTAAATGATGGGTGTGTCTTATTTAGTCTTAAAAGCTTATTTACGTTCATAGTCTGCGGCAGCCTGTGATACTTTTGTTAAACTTGAAAATTAAACAACAAAAATATATAAACATGAAGAAATAAGATAATGAAGAAAACACACATTTATCTGTTAAAGTCAGAGGGAAACTATTTCCTACTAAATTAAAATGGGGGATGCTCTCTCAGGCAAGAATAAACCATTTAAATTGGGATTTTTTGTTTTCGTCCTAACTGGTGTATTGGTGTTTAATATTTTCTTACATGATTCTTAATGTCCCTCCAGATCAGCCGATGGGTGCTTAACAAGGCAACTCCAACATCCAGTTTAGACTGTTAAAAAGACAGCAAGGCATACTTCGATATGTTAATTTCTCAAATCACGAGTAACAAAGATGTTACACAACACATTTACCATCCTAAACGCACTGGTTTTATGACTTTCATTTTAAAAAAGTGCTCGCTTATGATCAATCAAAAGTGTATTTCAGTGTTTCAATGCTAACTGTTGTCATCTTAAAACCCTTGTCATTAAACAAAACTATACCTTATCATCACCATCATACAGTCTGACACCGCTCTGTTGGATCACTAATGTTTCATTTATTTCTAAAAGTCCATTTGACCACGAAAACCTATCCATTTTTACTTTGTTTTGCAAAATCCGTCCTCTCTAACGCTTATTTTCGTTTACTTCCTGTAAGCTGTTCAGAATTTGCCTGTAAAAAAATAACACATTACTTAAAAGGAAAAGTAAGAGAAAAACAATTTTATTTATATTTGTAGTTATTTTGCCTTACATTTCTCTTTAATTTCTATTTACTTTTAGTTATGTTTTATTAATACCAATATTTTTTAAACAAAATGGATTTTTGATCAGCTTCTAAGGGGTCCTTCCGTTGTTGACGAAAGCTGTCAGTAGCTTAGCTACATTTGACTTCGCTCTCACGTTTTATTTAAAATATAATGATTTTTTTTAAATGCCCTAGTCTCATTTATTGTTATTAAGGCAGACATGAATTTACAGCTGTGAAAAAGTCATTCACGTTTACTCTGCAATTTTTTGTGTGTTTTTGTCGCGCGGTGATTAGATTTGAATAACCGTAGCACGATAGCTTGTTGTTAGCCTCAGCCGAATCTGGTACGGACAGGTTTTTACACCGCAGACCGTTCCGGATGTTTGGGATTCAATGCTTGTTCTCCGTCTGAAAACTAAATTTAAACTAATATATAGACCACGCTGTATTCAAATGATTTGTTGCAGCCACATACCGAGTTAAATCTCGGATTTGCTTAAATCAGCGTGTTTCCAAACTGTGGGTTAAAAAAAAAGTAAATTGATTAAACGTAATTTAATTGTATTTTACTTGACCTCACTTCATCATTTTAAATTTATTTGCATGGTGTATCAGTTCTTGTAAAAAAAAAAAAACATTGGCATTTAAGTTGATAACATGGATAAGAAGTCCTTTGACATCGTCCTGGATGAGATCAGAAAGGTATTAAAATGTCTTTTAAAATATATTTTGTAAATTGCTTCTTGTACTGATTGTATCCTGTTCTAACAGTGTGTCCTGACTGATCAGAGGGTCAGAGCCATAGAGCAGGTCCATGGATATTTCTCCAGTGAACAGGTACTGTCCCAGAACCTCTTGAATTTAGGGTTTTGATGTTTATATGCAGTAAAACTTCATAAATTTTAGGTAGAGTTCTCCTGCTTCTGGGTAAAAACAAACATTTTCCTGCGTTTTGCTAGTATCTAGTGCTGGCTAAATATTAATCCATTTTCCTGCATTTTGTTTAGGATGCACGGATCCATATTTTTTTACTTCCGATCTCGATACTTAAATCTGGAAATCGGCCGATACCGATCCAGTTCCGATATCATCATGATCATCATAGATTTTATATGAGGCTGTAATAATCTCCTCTCAAGCACAATTTATACAAATCTATGCATGCATGTCCAAAAAGGCAACTTGAGGCAAGTTTTATTAATGTTGGATAAGTTTCAAAGTTAGAATTAAATTCTGCTAACACAAAATGTTTTTTTTTTTATTCCTAGCTTTAAAGTGGATATTAAAGTGATTAATTGAAGTGATTGTTTGTTTAAAGTTATTTTATATATTTTTTTAAATAAGGGGGAGATATAAGAATTTTCTTCTTTCTGCACTCTTTTCATTCAGTGTTTTGTTCTTGATTAATTTGTTTTGTTTCTTTTGTTTCTTTTAAATGAACGGATAAATGAATTAAATAAAATAAAAAATTAAATGGCTTTAAACATCTGCTAAGTTCATGGCATAAACCAACACAGACATGTTTTTAGTATTTTACATTGCTTTATAATGTAGCTGTTTTTTTAATATATAATTTTCTTGTAATTTTCAAATCATGGTTTTTTTTTTATGATTGTCTACTGTTGTACTGATAAATATCTCCTGGAGGGTAAATTATATCTTGGCTGCAAGTATCAAGCTGTGAAATCCTTTGTTTTCTACAACTGATAGTGGTTGGTCATTATAATGAAGTTTAGCAACTTCTCTGTAAACATTCGAGCTCCGTGGCTTCAGTGATGTCTTCTTCTTGTTCAATCCGAAGCAAGCAGTCTGATTTCGGTCAGCCGCGTTCAGTCTGTCCCTCCTCGGAGACCGGCACACTGAACGGGGCACATTGGACACGGCTGGCCGGGGTCGGGCTGCCTGCTATGGGTTCAGCGAGAGGAGCAGACCGCTGAAGCCATGGAGCTTGAATGTCCCACATAAAACTAACTTTACAGCGGTTTAATGTGGCGCTATGGCTCTGCAGACATTACACATTGCTGTCTTGATTTGTGGAGTTTCTGGTGTAAAATACTTCCACACAGCGGACATGTTTAGATGAAAAGTTGGTTAGCTGTTAGCCACAGTGCTGCTAACTCAGTCCTCACGTTGTAGCTGGCTGCAAACTATGAACTGGATTTCCTGAATGTGAGGTGGGTCTTATTACTCTGGGCTCATGAGACGCATCCGTTCAGGAAATCCATTCCATAGTTTGAAGCCAACTTGCATCATGGATTGGAAATCTCTGCAGGTTGGATTGGAAAAATCAGATACGTAAATTATGCTGGTATCGGAGGCCGATATGGATACTGGATCGGATCGGCCCCATCCCTAATTTTGTTAAGTGTTTGCTAGTTCTTGTTTATAGCTTGTATTTTTTCTGGCTAAGTATAGACATGCATTTTCCTTTTTTTGCGTGGGTTTCCTCTCACAGACCAAAAACATGCATGTTAGGCAAATTGGTAACTCTAAATTGTCCCTAGGTGTGAGTGAGAGTGAATGGTTGTCTCCATGTGTCTCTATGATGGACTGGAGACCTGTCCAGGGTGTCCCCCGCCTCTCGCACAGTGATTGCTGATGTAGGCACCAGTCACCCCAACGACCCAGAAAGGAAGAAGCGGGTAAAGATAATGGGTGGATTGATGGGTGGATGGTCTCCAAATGGAAAGCCCTTTCAACGTTTTTTCAGGAAATGTTCTAGTTTGTTTTATTGCAAGTGTTTTATGTGAAATATTTAAAAACAGTAAATATAGAAAAATGAATCTTACAGAAATTCCAACTAAATTATCACATTTTTTACACAAATTCTATACCAGAACATTGCAGCTGCATTTTTTTATTATAAGCTTTATCAATGTTTTGGATGTCTGCAGGTGGCTGAAATCTTGAAGTACTTTTCATGGGCAGAACCTCAGATCAAAGCAGTGAAAGCTCTGCAGCATGTAAGTAACATTTGATTAAGCTCCATGGATCAAGGTGTTTAGAAATGTGGAAAATGTTTCCCTTATATTAGTGAATGCATATAGATCAGCCAAAGATAAATTGAGTAGTGCTGCTTAACTTGTCACAACTCACCAGTTTTTTTTAGCAAATCATGCATCTTTGCACATCCTAACCTAATATTTTTTTAGCATTCATGTCTTAACTGTTTAAAGCTGTTTAGCTGGAAATTGGAAGAACTTGTTCATATGTTCTACATATGTGCATACATGTTGTACATTATTAAATGTGTTTCTCTTTCTGATGCCTGTAGAAAATGGTTGCAATCCCCACAACCAAAGTTGCAAATATCCTGAGCTGCTTCACCTTCTCAAAGGACAGACTTGTGGTTCTGGAACTAATAGCTTTGTAAGTACATTTTAAAACGTGCCATTAATGAGAGCTTCTGTTTAACTGAAATCAGTGTAGGTCTGTTAATAATCCTTTTTTTAAATACAGAAATATTTCAGATGCACAGAATTATCGGCCTGTGGAGGATCTGTTTCGCATTCACTTGTCTGAGAAAAAGCGTGCTCGAAGGATATTGGAGCAGGTAAGCAAACCTTTTTAAAAAGCACTTTGGCTGTGGTGTTTATTCCCTAGGAACTGTTTTCTTATTTCCAAAATTTAAACTAGATAGTACGATGAACTGTAGATCCCTTAAAATGTCAGTCAGAACATAAATGTACACTCTTAGACCCTGTTTACATGACGCCGTGAGTGTGCCCATAGTTTTTCTGCAGCAGTTTGGCCATGTACAAAACAAAAAGTGCTTGTTTTCTCTGGAACCAAAGGTTTCTGATTCCAGGTCTCAGAGTGGAGATCGTCAGGGAAACCTCTGCAGAGGTGTGAAATACTCTGCAGACTTCTACGTCTGTAGTGTGCTCAGGAGTTGTTTAGCTTAGAGCTACATTAGTGCCGTTATGGCAAGCCCTTTTAACATAAAATCGAGTGGTCTGACTATCTGTAGTTACATTCTAGATATCTTAAATTGAGTTTTGACTAGGCACAATTACATTTTGACTAGTCAGAATGCTAATTTAAGATATCTTGAATTACATTCTGACTAGTCAGAATAACAATTCAAGATATCTTGAATTGCATTTTGACTAGTCAAAATGTAATTCAAGATATCTTAAATGACGTCACCTGATTCGTCATTTGACGGGTCAAACATCCGTAATTACAATTCAAGATATCTCGAATGTAATTATGACTAGTCAGAATGACACTTTTAGATATCTTGAATTAAGAAATGACGCGTAGGACCCGCGGCTGCTACTTAGCTGTTCAAACAGCTGCATGCAGAATTTTGGCTGGCTGCAATGGCGCTAGCTGTTCTGGACAACATTGTTAGAAAATGCCACAACTTCCTGTGGCTCTAGTGTTAGTGTTAGACAGTGAGGAAAATGGCTCAGTCTCTGCGCTGTTGTTTTTGTTCAGTTCCTGGTTGTTCTTGTGGGGCAAGAAAACAACCGTATCTGTCCTACCATGCTTTACTGCACTCTCACAGCCTGCATGAGTCACCATAATTAGGCAGTGTCTTACCTGTGAGAAGACTGACTGGCTTTTGGAGTTTTGTATGTGAATGTGAGGCCCATGTTTGTTTGTTTTGCAATTCTTAAGTATTATTCATATTTATTTTTGTTAATTTCATATTTATATTCCAGGTTGAAGGTGACAGTTGAGACTCGTGTAGTTCTGTTCCACAGTGTTTACTTGTAAACAAACCCAAGTGTCTTTTCTGTGTATAAATGATGTCCTTGGGTGAAAGTCCTAAGGTGGTGTTGCAGTAAGTTTATAAAATCAAAATAACATCCATACCCAAGCTTGTCACATGTATGTAAATTGTTCTAGTGTTACGTAGTTACCGGTAGATAGTTTGTTTTGAATTATTTTAAACATTCTTCAATTAAAACACACTTGAGCAGCATACTATACTGTTTTTTTATTTGTGGATTGATTCAGTTGAATTACAAGGAAAACAAGTGCAATTTACAATATCTAGTAAAAACAAAAAACATGTAACTATTTAAGTTAACATTTTATAACTGTACACTATAAATTGATAGTGGATTATAGATATTTTATCAAATTATGTAATTTCAAATTAAATAAATTGGCACATTTATGTATTTTTCATGAATAACTATTTACAGTATTTACATCTAAAAAGTTAAGTCTGGTCCTCTGGACATTCAAAAAAACAAAACAAACAAAAAAAGAAGAAGGTAGAAATGTTTCGTCTTTCATCCGAAAGGCTTCTTCAGTCTGAGGTGCTGCTCAAAGTCAAAAGTCACTTTTATTGTCAAAAACTGCAACATGTACAGGACATACACAGGACTGAAATTACATTTCTCTCAGACCCCGGTGCAACAATAACCATTTAACATTAAAACATTTATTAAACATAAGCATAAAATGAAGTAATAAATGGTTCACACATTTACACATGGTTGTCAGCAGCAAACTGGTTGATCCACTCTGAGAAGGTGCTATTTAAGAGACTGAGCTGAAAACAGCACCTCAGACTGAGGAAGTCTCTTGGATGAGAGACGAAACATTTTTACTTTTTGTGTGTGTTTGTTTTGCTTTTTGAATGTCCAGAGGACCAGACTTAACTTTTTTAGATTTTCCTACCTGGATCATTGAGCAGCATCAAGATATAGTATTTACAGTGATTCACAGCTTGAGACTGATTAAAAATATGAAGGAACAAAAGGGTGATTTATAAATTTTATGTTTCTTGCTGCATTGATATAAACACATGGATGAAGGTGTTGAAGTAAAACATGTCCAGTTTAGACTTCATCTGATCAATCAATCGATCATCAATCCATTCATCACACCATACCCGTTCAACAGTTATTGTTTAGTGTACCCCCTGATCATCTGAGCTGTCAGTGCTGTCAGCAGACTCCTCCTCCGCACTTCCTCTGTAAGCAACACGGAAAGTGGAAACAGCTAGCAGTAAGCCTTGGTTGTCGAAGCTGTACCCACGCAGGACATCTGGACTGCTCCCTGGTTCTGGCCTGTACTTCATGTGACACTTGCAGAGACTGAAGGTGCATAAGTTGACCGAGTGTGGCCACAAAACACATGTTGGGAAGACTATGCAGCATTGAAGGAAGAGCAGGAGGTCTGGAGCCATGTGGTGCAGAATGATGCTGCGCAGGACTTCTCAGGTGGGCACTGGTGAGACCTCAGTGAGCCCTGTGGCACAGGACCAAGTCTGGATGGTACCAGCTCCAAAGCTGAGAGACCATCTCTAGGATAAGTGTGATAAGTGGTTGGGACTCCAGCAGGTGGTTTTTCTCCCGATGCCAGGATGTCAGGATCTGGAAGTGGTCCTACAAAACACACAAGTGACAGAATCACAATAAGTTTTGACAAAGGAAACATGGACATAAAAACATTAACCCAAAGGTTATACCTGTGTAAGCTCTGTAAAGCGTGGAGTGCAAACATCTTTTCACCACAGTTTTGAGCTTTCGCACCACCACCACCACCTCGCTGGCAGGTTCAGGATGGATTCCCTTACAAGAAATAAACATAAAAATATGTCAAACTAAAAAATAAATAAATGTAAAGAGACAAGTGAGCAATTTTGTAGGACACAGTGGGACAGACTTGAGAGTTAAGATTTTTACTTAACTTGCAAATATTACTAATCCATAGAGGTTGAACCTGCATTTATTCATTACCTACAAAAACAAACAATTCTAAACAAGTTAGGAGAGAAAAATATATTTGACACAAGTAATATTGAGATTATGACAAATTTCACATGGCACTAATAATATACAGGTGGGAAAGTTATTACAGTTATTGTGATGAGAATCATAACCATCATATACTAAATAATGTAACAGAAAAGAATGTGTTCCACTCTTATTTTATTGTTTTACCTGTGTTCTTTGTCTGTGCCATCTTTGTAAATCTCTTGTGCAGGCCAGTACAGGAGGACCAGTTGGCAGCTGGAGTTGGGAGTAGTGGGCAGTCTGGTAAAAAAAAAGTGCAACTACATGGTTACAAAAACCTTTACCAGCTGCACTTCTACAGAAATAAGCCAACATTTCTTTTTTCAACACACAATGAGATCTAAAATAGATCTGTTTTTAGCACACACACACATATATATAATTAATACTTGTTATAACATATTTAGCTTTAAACAAGTAATAGATTGTATAATAGATTGATTCACTTAACACATCAACTTACATATACACAGCACGCTACATACACACATAAACATATGTTTGGCACTAATGGAACCTCATAAAAATATAATAAAAAATGTTATATCATGTCTGTCTCAAACACTCCAAATAATGTAGCACACTAAATTAGACTTCTTTATTACGATGTTTATGCGCTTCATATGTTGTAGCTAACGGTTAGCTTGCTAAGCTACGTCTTTTCTTACCTTGACAGCTGTGGAGATTTTCTTCATGGAAGAACTTTTATCCTTTCACGTTTATTAGTTCGAGAATTCGCCGCTGCGATTTCCTCCTCAGCAGCGAAAGAAAAGTTGGCAAATTAAGCAAAGATGTTGAAAAGAGAGACATTTCTCCTTAGTGCAAAGACTCGCAAAGCAGGAAGTGTCGGTTTCCGGTTGTCGTGAAAAAGACGTCGCAAAAAAAATCTTCTTGTTGCAGATACAATAAATAATCCGAGCTGCCGCGTTAAAAATCATGTTAAAAATACGAGCGTTGTGTTGGACTGACCTGATTTTGCAGATTATAAAATAAAAATGCTACAATGCTTTATGATTTTTCCGCCAAAATGCTACGTAAATCTGTGACGTTTTGACTAGTCAGAATAACAATTCAAGATATCTTGAATGTCATTCTGACTAGTCAAAATGTGAATTCAAGATATCTTGAATAGAAAAGCCGTCTACATGATAAAATATTCAAGATATCTTGAATTCATTTTGAGATATCTTAAAAGGAATTTTGACTAGTCATAAGTACAGTTCTAGATATCTTTAAGTTAGTTTTGCCTAGTCGTTATTTGCTTTCAAGATATCTACAATTTAATTTGCACTAGTCAAAACTTCATTTTTGATATCTACAAATACATTTAAGATATCTTGAATAATGACGTAATTTAAGATATCTTTAATTGTAATTATGACTAGTCAGAACTAAAAGTGAGATATCTTGAAAGCAAATAATGACTAGTCAAAATTAACTTAGAGATATCTAGAACTGTATTTTTGACTAGTCAAAATTCAGTTCAAGATATCTTGAATTGAAGCCTCCATACAACTCAATGGTAATTCTGACGTCATTATGACTAGTCAGAATGTAATTAGAGATATCTTAAATAGGTATTTTGACTAGTCAAAATGTAATTCAAGATATCTTAAATAACCAATATGTCTAGTCAAAACTCAGTTTCAGATATCTGGAATGTAAGCGTGGTGAATCCTATTTTATGTTAAAAGGGCTTGCCATAGTGCCGTTAGTTCTCAACTGGTCGAGTGTGGGGGCCGGGGGGCAGTGCTGCATTTGCATTGCTCACTGTTTGGAGTCTGAGCTGAGCTGCTACAATCTGCACTCCCCATCCAGAAGTGGCGCTGCTGGGTGGGGGATTTGGTAGGCGGGGCACTCACTTCTGTTAACTGGGCAACATCCTTAAATGTAGGGGAAACACTGATGTGTATCAACTGTAGACACACAAAATTTTCCTATGGGCTCCATCCCTCGGGAAGTCGGCCATTTTCCATCAGAACTGACAAGTGCCAAATTTGACCTTTTTCTTTCATTTTTTCACAGCACATGTTTTTTTTATTCTCCAAATTTTACACAATGCACATTTATCTCATCTTGAGCAATATCTGTTACTCTGACTGCACATACTTTGATGTGCACACAGTCCAGACCGCCCAGGTGCACGAGTGCCCATAATCACTTCTTGCAGTTTTAATTAGGGCTCGAGCGCTGTGAAGCAGTAGCAGAAGGCCCTTTTGTTTTTGGAATGATTAATATTATTTTTCTCCTAACAGGAGGCTTTTTTTCACTAGGTTCTAGTGGACTGAACATTTTGAAACCTGGCAATTACATAGAACTAGCATAAATATGGAGAGGCGCACAAATCTAGATGTGGGCATGACTAATTGGTTCACCAGAGCCATCTTGACTGCAGCTCTTCTGACTACTTCAATGTTCACAAATGAAATTTAGTACATAGGTGCACTGGTTCAGGTCCTACAAAAGTCACTTGACACCATATTGTAAAGCATACAGGAAGTCGCCCATTTTGATTGCAATGACAATTTAGGCTATTTTCACATCATGCTAAGCACTATTTCTTCTTCAAATATGAACCAGAGTTTCTAGACAATATGATGCACAAAAATGATCCGCAGCGTTTCAAAAATAACAGCGTGAGCGTGGGATTTTTTGGGGATCTGCCCATTTTTCTGTTAAGTAAGACACATATTAGAACTAGTGTAAATATGGGGAGGTGCAAACATCCAGATGTGAGCATGGCAAATTGGCTCACTATCCACCTTATTCCGGATTTGGCGCCACTACCCATAATTCATAGCGGAAGCCGGTTGTTTACTTCCGCCCGCGATCCCGCGCTGTTGTTTACGTTTGTGGGTTAACACACTTGCTAGCAATTTAATGTTTTTGACACAAAAGTTTCCTTTACCTGAAGTAAATGGCAGCACATCAGAGGTGGATACATTGCAAGGATGTTTTAAAAAGCTGCGAAGATAAGTCTTTAACTGTGTCTCACCCATCATTTCTCACGGACTGGGTAGATGATATGAAATCATGGCCCGGAATTACCTACATCGATATTATTAATTACCTTGTTTTTTCTGAAGGCGTCGATGGCGAGGAATTGCGGAATTATAAAAGCACAGAGGCGTATAATTACCTCCACAGCAACAAAATAGATACAGTTTTGCTCAAGAAACAAGGCGACTTTATCTTTCTGAAAGCAGCTGTTGAGCCGAGCCAGAGCGTTGGTCAAGCTAAACACTTAGCATGGGTCATGCTCAGAGAAAGTGGAGTGGTAGAAACGGTCGGCTGTTCCTGTATCGCCGGATTGGGAAAATCATGCAGTCTCGTGTTTTTGATCTGGGGGCTGAATTTTACCAGGTTGCTAAATAAAAAGCTATTCTCGGACAGTTACATGAAATCATATACATCTCTGCTAGCATGCTACTGATGTTAATTACTAACCACTTTGTCTTTAAGATTTGGATTTGGCTGCCAATCAAGTACTTTCTCTTAGTGATAAAGTATTTTGGAATTAAATTAATAATACACTATCATCCACAATAACACTGCAACCAGCTAGCGCTGATGCTAACACCATCCACAGTATAGTAATTATAACATTACAATTATAACATTAATAATAATATAATTCAGTAAAAGATAAGAGCTAAGCATGATTAAAATGTGAAGCGGGGACAAATCACATTTTCAATTTCACTCACCGGGAACAGATTCGGCCGTTTTGTCGATGTTGCTGGAAGCTGTCTGGCTCACAGTGGTCCGGATGAGCTGCCTTCTTTTCTTTGGTGGGGCCCGGTCATAGCCCAGATAGAGCTCCGGGTCGGGGTGAAGCTCTGTGGGCTTTTTATCAATAAAATGAAAGGAGCAAACATAAACTCTCTTCGGGGGGTATTTGAGTTTTAAAGCTGCCAGCCACGCTCGTTTTCGATCCTCCTTCCTCGGCATGGAGTGCAGTTCGTAACGCGCTGGGCACACACAGGCCTTTCGAAGTTGTTGATGTGCAAAACAATACGTTTCTAGCTCGTCTTTCAGTTTTCTGGAGCTGTTGTGACAGCCAACAACAGCACAAGTTGAACCCGAACTCATATTAGAATTGTTTAAGCCTCCTGCTACAGCACAAATTACTAGAATTTGTCATTAGCAAAAGTGCCTGTCATTAGCAAAAGTGCCTCTCGCTTTAGCTCACCGGAAGTATAAAACCGGGAGGGGGCGGTACCTGTCTGTCATGGCAGCCCACATACGCTCTTGCAGAATAAGGTGAATAGCCATCTTGATTACCCCTTTCACTTGTTAAAAAAATAGAACGATGGACTGACGGTTGCCTCGGCCACTGACTTTGCGTGGTCGCAGTCCAGACCGCCCTGGCACGCTAAGACCCTTTGTCACTGCTTGAAGTTTTAATTTTATATTGATTACATTTTTTTGTTTGTTTCTCACATCAAATTTGTACAAGTACAACGTTTACTTTACTAATACCTGTTTCATGTTAGGTGTGTAAGGTTGGCTGTAAGGCTCCTGTAGCCATGATCTCCTCCTGTGGAATGATACCAGGAAATCCATACCCTAAAGGCAGACCCAGCTTGGTCACTGGCACGTTTCCTGTAAGTTCATGAAATATTTAGTGCTAAACTTCATTTATTTGTTCTTATTTTTTTTAAAGAAAACTTCTGTGACCTGTATTTCCACCTTCTGCTGACACATTACAACTTGCCTCAGTTGTTTTACACAAAGTAATCCAGGAGTTCGTTGAATATGAGAAGAAATTGTGCTTCTTTGTTGTGTGATATGGTATTTGAGTAGCTAGTCAATAAAAGAGTTCAGTTTGGATGTTTGTTGGTTCAAAGTAAGCCAAAATATTTTTAAATATCAGAATTTTAATTTAATTTAATTTTTTTGTGATCGCAGGGAATCCCTCCTGTTAAAAAAGAAGCCGAGAAAAAAGAAGATTCTTTGAGCGGTATGGAGGGGAAGGGAATCGCTACACGTATTATTGGACCCTCCAAACATGTAAGCAGAAGATAAGGAATCACAACCAGAGATTATTTATTAGTTGTTATATTCCAAGAGAAACCTCATGATAGACTTGATACTTTAATTACCTTACTTAAAGTGATTAAAGACCTGTAATGTTGTCTTGTAATGGGATACAAACACTGACAAATAAATTATTACATTTATTTTATAGAAAGAGATTTAATAGTATTTTTTCTTGTACATAATGTTGAAAAATGCTCTTTCAAAGCAATGTAGTTAAAAAATGACTTTTCTGTTTAATAAAAAGCATTCATTATGTCATTAGTGTTTATCAGTTTAGTGTTTTGTCTTTTTCCTTCTCCCTCAGTTTCCTTCAACCTACAATCCTTATCGACCTGTTCCTTACCCTATACCACCATGCCGACCTCATGCCACTATTGCACCAAGTAAGCAACCGTTTAGCAAAATATATGTGGCAAGCTGATATATAATCTAATCAAACGTGTAGCTCTAATTACATTTCATAGATCACTAATAACGTTCCTTTCAGTCAAATTGGCATTCTTACTAGTCAAAAATGAATTCAAAGATATCTAAAGTTTCTACTTATAAAAATATATATATTTATATTTGGAACTTGAAGCCCAGTGACAGAAATTATGCCATTTAATTTTGAAATAATGTTATTTGAAATGTTGATGGAATAAATTGACTCATGTTGACAAAAGATTCTTGGACAATCCTATTATATGATAAATTAGCTTGCTATATAAGTCCCTATTTTACTGGTATACACATCATATGTAGCCTGTCAGAAATTAAAACACACAAAGCATAATAATAATATGGATTTGAGTGATATTTAATACCATGAAGGCAGATTTTATTTTTATGAACTTGAATTTGTTCACTTAGTTCCTAGCTGGTTTGTGTTGATTATTTATTTATTTTTGTGTATGAATGTATCAAAGACAACAATATTATTTGCAACTGCCACTCAGGTGCATACAACAACGCAGGCCTTGTTTCTATGGGAGGGGTAATAACAGCCAATATGCCCCCTCCCCCCTACAACACTTCTCACAGAGTAGCAGGTATGATTTAAAGAAGACAGCAGCTAGACCCTTCTTTAAGCTTGCTGCTATACTTGCTGGCATGCTGGTTATTTGTGCTTCTGCAGTTTTACCAGGTGAACACATCTGTTCAAGCATACTGACTGACCAGGAGAATACACTTGACAGTCTAAATAATAATGGAGCAGCATTAAATATTAGTCAATATTGCAATTCACTAATTGTGTTTTTGTCAAGATTGATTCAATAAATCCAATTTGTGGTTGAATTAACTGAATTTTGTTGAAAAAATGATTAGTAATCGCAGTGACATATAACAAATTACTGCTTTTAAAATGGCAACATAATGGGGTTACTTCACAACTAAAACAAAAAATGTTGATTCATTATTGAAATAATACTTTTTTCAGAATATTTTGCAGCTTTTAGTTATCTGGTCATTCAGTAGATTTTGTCGTAAATGTGCTTTTTATTTAGACAAACGCCAAAAATCTTTTGCTTTCTTGAATTATTCTGTTTGCTGGCATTTAACATGCGCTGCTTGCATCGGTCTTTTTTGCTGTGTCCAAATATGTTTTTTGTTGATGACTTGCAAAATAGTTTTCAAAAATAGTTGTGTATTTAGTTTAAAAAAGTAAAATTAAACTGGGTTTTATCTTACAAATATTCACAGCTTTTATGAATCTGAGATCATGTTGGGCCTTTGGGGACATTTTCAATCACAAGATTACTTTAGTTTGATTAAACTGTGTATAAAATAAGATGCCAAGTTGATTTGAGCCAAAATGACTAAATTCTTGATATAAACATTTCCTCAAAGATAAGAATGAACCGGAAATGGATTTGAATGACTTTGCATTAGGCTGCTTGTAGGAATGTTTTCTGGCTTTTACCCCTTGCCCCTTTTCATCTTCTGTTAATGCTCTCTGCTAAAGGATTTGTTTTGGGCTTTAACTGACAGTGGGGAGAACAAGTATTTGATAGACTGTTGATTTTTCAGGTTTTCCCACTTGCAAAGCTTGTAGATGACTGTAATTTTTATCATAGGTACTCTTCAACTGTGAGTGATGGAATCTAAAACAAAAATCCAGAAAAATACAATGTATGGTTTTTAAATAATTAATTTCCATTTTATTGTGTGAAATAAGAATTTGATACACCAGAAAAATGAAACTTAATATTTGGTACAGAAACCTTTGTTTGCAATTACAGAGATCAGACGTTTCCTGTAGTTCTTGACCAGGTTTGCACACACTGCAGCAGGGATTTTGGCCCACTCCTCCATACAGATCTCCTCCAGAGCCTTCAGGTTTCGGGGCTGTCACTGGGCCACATGGACTTTAATCTTCCTCCAAAGATTTTCTATGGGATTCAGGTCTGGAGACTGGCTAGGCCACTCCAGGACCTTAAGATGTTTCCTACGGAGCCACTCTTTAGTTGCCCTGGCTGTGTGTTTGGGTCGTTATCATGCTGGAAGACCCAGCCACGACCCATCTTCAGTGCTCTTACTGAGGGAAAGAGGTTGTTGGCCAAAATCTCACGATACATGGCCCCATCCATCCTTCCCACAATATGGTGCAGTCGTCCTGTCCCCTTTGCAGAAAAGCATCCCCAAAGAATGATGTTTCCACCGCCATGCTTCACGGTTGGGATGGTGTTCTTGGGGTTGTACTCATCATTCTTCTTCCTCCAAACATGACGAGTGGAGTTTAAACCAAAAAGTTCTATTTTTGTCTCATCAGACCACATGACCTTCTCCCATTCCTCCTCTGGATCATTCAGATGGTCATTTGCAAACTTCAGACGGGCTTCGACATGCGTTGGCTTGAGGAAGGGCACCTTGCGTGCACTGCAGGATTTTAATCCTTGACGGCGTATAGTGTTACTGATTGTTTTCTTTGAGACTGTGGTCCCAGCTCTATTCAGGTCATTGACCAGGTCCTGCCGTGTAGTTCTGGGCTCATTCCTCACCTTCCTCAAGATCAATGATGCTCCACGAGGTGAGATCTTGCATGGCGCCCCAGACCGAGGGAGATTTTCCGTTATTTTGTATTTCTTCCATTTTCTAATAATTGCACCAACTGTTGTTGCCTTCTCACCAAGCTGCTTGCCTATTGTCCTGTAGCCCATCCCAGCCTTGTGCAGGTCTACAATTTTATCCCTGATGTCCTTACACAGCTCTCTGGTCTTGGGCATTGTGGAGATGCTGGAGTCTGATTGATTGAGTGTGTGGACAGGTGTCTTTTATACAGGTCACGAGTCCAAACAGGTGCAGTTAATACAGGTAATGAGTGGAGAACAGGAGGGCTTCTTAAAGAAGAACTAACATGTCTGTGAGAGCCAAAATTCTTACTGGTTGATAGATGATCAAATACTTATTTCACACAATAAAATGGAAATTAATTATTTAAAAATCATACATTGTATTTTTCTGGATTTTTGTTTTGGATTCCATCACTCACAGTTGAAGAGTACCTATGATAAAAATTACAGTCATCTACAAGCTTTGCAAGTGGGAAAACCTGATAAATCAACAGTCTATCAAATACTTGTTCTCCCCACTGTATTCTACTAATGTCTGGAATGAAATGGCATTTCTAACTCTGACCTTACAGCTAATCATGAAAATCAACCCTTTTCCTTGAATGCTTTTATTGTTTCTAGAACAAAAATTAAACAAAATGATCATAAATTTATTATAATTATTCACCAAGTTTTATCTCTCTTTATTTTAGGTTATGTCAAACCTGGCAATCCACAGAACACAACCCCTGGAGTCAACAGCAGGCCCCTTTTGTTTCCTCACGTGTCCACTCCTTCAACTCCCGTCCCACCCCAGGCTTCACCTGCCCCGCCACCACCCACTACCCCCATTACGCCTGTTTTCCCTGGCATGGTGCCCTCCCACAACGCCCCCTCTCCTGCACCAGCCCCATCTCCGTCTGTGATTAAAGGTGGGCCTCAGACCCCCAGTGGGCATGTCACACCTACGCCTTCGTCCGTCATTAAAGCCCACACACCGTCGGGCACTCCCTGTGGAACACCTGTCCCTGGCAGCGGGGGGTTCTTGTCTTCCCCATTCCATGCTCTTTCTCGACCAGACACCCCTTCAGCTTCCCACAGCAGTCAAGACTTTCAGTCACAGACAAATTCCTCCACTCCTCAGAGGACTTACTCCCAGTCCTCAGACCAGTCAGGACCCAACTTCTCTGGCATACACACACAAACAGGCAACCCCTCTGGTTCAGTGATCCGAAGCTACACCCCCTCTGGTTCATCATCTCTCACTCCTAGATCTTCCACTCCAGGACCCAGTCCGAAACCCTCCCCTGTCCACCACCCTGCTCAGACTCAGGCTGTCACAGCTGGATCCCTGAACAAGCACTCTGGGGGTAGTAACAGTGGCAGCAACAGCCCTGTACCGCTGGCGTTTCGTTCTGTTCCACCGTCTGTTGGCTCACTGGTGCAGCCAGGCTCTGCTCAGGCCACGCTGGCACGTTCCTTAGGTCTGTCACACTCTTCAGGTTCTCCTCAAGTCTCTCTCCCCAGCCCTGTTGCCATCACTGGTCTTCAAGCAATGTCTTCCAGCCCAGCACCATCTCATTACCCAGGCCTCTCTCCTTTTCCAGCTCTGACTTGTTCTCTTCCTTCTGCCACCACGCCTTCATCTGGGCTCACAATGTCTCCCACCACCAACATTCCCAACCACCCACCAACCTCCAAATACCCGAGCTTGACTCCCAGTGCCGCTCCTGCCGCAGCCTCACCTTTTGGTCTTGGCCTCGCCTCGGCCCCATCTATATTCCAAGGCCTCCCACCTGGGGCTAGCCCCACCACCTTTCCTGGACTGGGCATGTCGGGGGGTACCAGAAGCCCTGTGCTGCCTTCGTTCATGGGACTGTCAGGAGCAGCTCCAGCTTCAGTTGCAGCCGTGGCTCCGCTGCAGGCCGCAGGCGCTGCAGTCGGGGTCCCATCGTCGTCTCCAGTGTTACCTGGTTTTGCATCTGCTTTCAGCTCCAACTTCCAGCCCGGGTAAATGAAGCTAGAATTTTTACTGCCCTGCATACAGAACATGTCAATATTTACTGTGGACCAAATAATTTAATTCTCCATTCTTAATACTAAATGTATTTATATATGATTCAGTTGCTTGCTGTATAAATATAGCAACAAACTGAATTGCTCTTGTATTTTATACGACAGGAAATTTGTGTCTAGTAATGAGAGAGAACAACAATCAGGGAAAAAGTAATAACAAAAAGAAAAACACAGATTTCCATTTTGCTTGTTGAAGCTTTAAAGAGCATCGTAAATCATGATTCAGTTTTTCCCGTATGTTTGGTAAGTTCAACGCTGCCACTATAAGGGACAAAGTCCACTTGCACTTCTATTCAGACATGATAGGCTTAAACTTTGGTTTGTGTCGTCTTGTGTTGTCATTTTTGCCAGCCCTGTTGACTAATCTGTCAGTTTTATAGTAAGTTATTCTGTCAGGCTAGAATTTAATTTAATTCAATCTTTATTTGTACAGGTTGCATTGAGCCTCAAGGACTCATTTACAAGAGAGACCTGTTTTAAACAAAGAACACATGACAACAGTAGAAAGAAGTGTATGAAATGAAGAGTAAATGGAATAAATTATATAATAATAAAATAAATAAAAAACCGAAACAAAAACAGCTGCATTATAAAGCGATGTGAAATACTAAAAACAGGATCATTGGTTTTTGCCATGAAAGCCAAGTCTCACCTTTAACATCAAGCACTTAAACATTCAGTACACAGGGCATATATTTTATTTATTTATTGTACTCTATTAATCTGCAGCTGGGAAATTAATTCTCTGCATTTTTCCATTGCACATGTGTAGCAGTGGGCTGCCATTTAAGGCATCATGGGAAAATGATAAGAGTTAAGCCAGCAAAGGAAAAAATACTTGTTTAAAAACAAACAAAAATATTTAAACTCATGTATGTAATATGTGGTGCGAATGACAAATAAAGAAACTCTTGACTCTAATACAAATACATACCAACATTAAATCATAATGTTTACATAATGAAGTTTATTTGATTGAATCCAAACACTGGTACATTTATTCATTTTATACACTTTAATACACAGAGCTACGGTAATTGAGTAACTTAACGTTGAATTGCACATTTATTTATTTTTTCTGAGACATTACCATGAGAGCAGACACTTCCTGGAGTGTCTGCTGGATTCAGCTGTCTTTTTTTTTTTTTTTTCAACTGTTAGGATGTTGGCCAGCCTAAATTTAATGAAGCAGTGAGAGGGGTCCGTCACACTTCTTTGTACAAAATGTGATTTTTCATGTATACGAAATGTTGTTTTTGTTCAAATAAATAATTAAAAACACAACAAAATGAAAGAAAATAAATCAATAAAAGAAGCCTATTCTAAAGTCATCAGTGTTGTTGTGTATTGCAGGTTGACCAGTGCACTTCAGGCTCCTGGAGGAAGTGGGTTTCCAGGCTTGCTGTCCTTCCCTGCTGTGGCAGGCTTCTCACCGTCTGCTTCTCCTGCTGCCCTCAGTGGCCTTCACAACCCAGCCATGCAGTCTCCTCTGCTGCAGGTAGTTGTACACATACATAGGCCTGTCGCAATAAACAATAAATCAATTAATCACATGATAAATGAAAATTATCAACCTCATTTTCATTTATCAGCTTTATCGTTTCTTCGTGTCTCTCTTTCTACTGAAGACACTGGATGACGCTCGTCACTGGCCCCTCCCTTTCTCTTTTCTCTTTAAAATCTTTTAACCGTCCAAAATCATGTTTTTGGATCGTTAAAAGCAGCTAAGCTGAGAAGCTAAGCTATGAGCTAAGCTAACAGGCCGACTTCGAAAACAAAATCTCCCGTCTTGTCAAAGCTCCAAAATTCACAGTTGAAACCCGTGCCTTGGTGTAAAAATTTGTTTTTCTCTGCAAAAAGAAGCTGAGAACTTGTTTACATTTTTTCAAATTAAAAGCTTTGTGTGAAAAATGCTATGCTAAAGAGCTCAAACCACACCGAGCGTCCATCATTTAGAGAACTGAAAAAACGAAGAAGAGATAGCCCATGTCACGTCAAGGGGCCTCTCACCCATTTTTCTTAAAAAGAGACACGCTGCTCACTCCCATACTATCCATCCTTCGGTTCTGTCTTATACTGCCATCCAGTGGTCAAAAAACGGTACTACACACAACATAAATGAACCAACATTTCTTCTTAAATTTGATAATTATTACTAATTAGACACACGGTAGATTTGAGTTTTTGACTTTCAGCTTAAGAAACTGCTATAAGTCTCCACTTATTTGAGGTTCAATGAGACTAACCTGTATAAATAAAGGTTGAATTCATTTTGTCTTGCTTTAGGCTCATCCTACATCTGCCTTGGAGAGCTTTCCTCCTCAAGCCACCAGTTTCACCAACTACCCTGCAGGCCCTGGAAACCCCTTCCCACTCCAGCCAGGACTGCACCCTCAGTTAGGTTGGCAGTAAACTGTTGACATGTTAGGACTCACATGCAGACCCTTGCAGTTTGCCCAGCCCTACTTTGAAGTAGGTAATATGTCTTTGGCCTTGAACCATGAAGAGCCCAGGATAACACGGCTTCATCACTTCACAGCAGGGTGGCTTAATTCAGGACACACTACTCTGAATATATGGGGGAAGAGGAAGTATTGTTACTCATCGTTTGTAAATATTAGTTATTGAAATGGATAGACTGTAACTAGCTGTAATGATAGGCTTGACTTGCCTGTTTTTAGGAATACGTTTATTATCGAATTGTAGAAAATAGGAAATTATGTTAAAATGGTCATTTGTGATTATTTTATGTCCGATTACAAAATCAATAGGGAACAAAAAGCTTTTGGATTTATTTACCCAAATCTTTGATTTTAGTATGAACTTATTAGTAATTGGTGGTTTATAATAAGGACTTACATTTTAAGTGTTTCTACAGTACTGTAAATATTTGTAATTCATGTTCTGGCTCAGGAGTGTTGTTCTAAAAAAAGGTGCATTTTACAGTTTTGTTTTCTTTTGTTCTTTTTTTGTATACTGTGATTCATACTTTGTATGTGTACAAAGTTGACAAATGTGACTCTCAGTACTGTTATTGCAGTATTTGAGCAGAAATACTTGACTTTATGAAATCTACTACACATCTCAGATAATGTATGGACTTAAAATAAACAGCAATATATGCAGGAATGCATCACCCTTTTTTTCTGCAACAGATTGAAAACTAACTTATCTAACAAGGTTAAGTAAGGTCATCTGGACGGATTCTTCTGGAAGAATTTGTCCATAGGACGTGACCTTGTTAGATTTATCTACCTGGGTTATTGTGCATGCATTAGGATACTTCTAACAAATTTTCTTTGCACAGTTCAGCTCACTATGAGACGAGCTCATGTCCAGTTCAGTGATGGAGAATAGACTTCCTGTTTTTGTATTGTCACTTTACATTTGTATCATTTTTATTGTGGTGGGAGGATCAGTTTGAATATCAATATTATCAATACTACCGTGGGGATTGGTATCTAATGAAATCAGGGTAATAGTATTGATACTTTTGTTTCAGTCTGTATGAGCTGCTGTGGTTTTGCTTGTTTTCCATGGTTGTGTACGTCCCGCTGCTTCCACATGCTGCTCTTGTCACTGCTAGAGCTGGTCTGTAAATCACATTAACATAAGTTTACATCCATAACACACTTGTTATCACAAGTTAACGATTTGATTGACTTATTCAATTTGCACACCTTGAATCTTTGTTCCATCAACTGCAAGGTGTTTGTTCACTTATTTGTGTGTGAAATTGTAAATTGAACATCTATATATTGCATATAAATATTACCTTTATTTATACATATGTATTCAATTCAACACTTTTCAGTCAGGTCATCTGGACAGTTTCTTTTTTTTTTGATGAAATGTGAAAAAAAAGTAAAAAGAAACTGTCCAGATGACCTGACTGAAAGTTGTTGGATTGTATACCTGGATTTTTGAGCATGGACTTTTTTTTTTTTTTTTGTATTCATTTCAGTTTCTATAGCTCCAAATAAAAGAAGTTGTCTCAGAGCACTGGACTGGGGTTTGAGAGCAAGGAAGGAGAAAAAAACGACACCAGATCAAGGTGTAATATACACATCATCAATATACAGGTGCTGGTCATAAAATTAGAATATCATGAAAAAGTTGATTTATTTCAGTAATTCCATTCAAAAAGTCAAACTTGTATATTCATTCATTACACACAGACTGATATATTTCAAATGTTTCTTTTAATGTTGATGATTGTAACTGACAACTAATGAAAACCCCAAATTCAGTATCTCAGAAAATTAGAATATTACCAATTAAAAAAAGGAGATTTTTAGAAATGTTGGCCAACTGAAAAGTATGAGCATGTACAGCACTCAATACTATAATATCTTGCCCCATGGATCGAAGCCCTAGTAACCCACTTGCAGGCGAGGGACACTGAGCTCCATGTATACAGGCATACATAATAATCACTCTTTGTCTCGTCAGTCACCAAGGACCAATCTGCCATGATGGACCCTCCCAGCAGAACTCCTAGGACCCTTCAGACACACAAACTGGTCCACCACAATAAGGTGGCGATTCACAGAGGAAAATAGTTGGGTCTCAACCACCAAAACACATTATGTTCACAGTTTGTTCAAAATACAGATTTTCAGTATCATCCATTGGAACAGATCAGATTTGTAATCAGAGCTGCTACTGTATTGAATTGAATTAGTGTGGTAGTAGCATGTTGCAATATTGAGTGATATTGCACTCGAGGTTATTTTTAGGGTTTTACCAACTGTCCTTTCAACATGATGATCTTAAACTCTAAAATGGATGGTGGTGACATTCCTTCAGAGAACGCATGGCCTTTAAATCTCAATAACTTTGTGTCCCAAATGTTAATTTTTAACCCATTAAACACGAGCATGGTTTTCCTGTAGGTGAGAGGATTTCTTTACAGAACCTAACAGACTTAATCTACATGCCAAAAATCTGCTGATCTGGCGTGTTAACATGCCTTCTCTGGAGCCAGCAAAATGAAAAGTGTAGCATGGTTACATTCTGACCTTCCAAATAGTTTTCAAACACCATTTTACACAGATAAGCCTTTATTGTGTCAAAAATAAAAAAGGTTTTCACAACACTAGTGATGGGCTGTTTGAAGCTGAAGCTCCGAGGCATGTATAAAAAAAACCAACAGTGTTTCTGAAGGTCTGCGTCAGAGCTTGATTCGTTTGGCAAAAGTCACAAGATGGATGACGTCCGACGCGTCAATTGTGCTGAAGTTACATCACTGCTTTGGTACCTGATTCAAAACTTCAGGAAGTAAATCATTGGCCAGATTTGTGGTATGTTTTGGGGGTGCAAATTGCGCAAAATGTAACGTGTCATATAGAGACATGGAGCCAGCCAGCCTTATTTGTGTGTTTTATCAGTTCATAAGCACTTTTATCCCAAGGAGAAAATAAAAACACTGCATGGAAGTTAAAATCTGATCTGACAGAAACTGATTCATAAAGTCATGGAGGATGAACACCTGCAGCACAAGCATCATTCCAGACCGGCGCTGTGAATTAGAATTTATGAAAAAAAACAATCTGTGTTTACTAATGTCAAGAAGTCACAAGCAAAGGGGCATCATGCCGTGACACGTTTTAACCTATTAATTCTTCAAAATCATTCATTCATCAAACAACCATAACTTTATTCTTTCACCTACAAAATAATAACGGTTCAAAGCACCTCAGTGACAGCCCAGTTGCAGAGAAAACCAGAAAAAACTGGAGTAGCCAGTTGTCAAAGAACAATGACAAAAAAATGTGGAGATTTCCAAAATCGCATTAATTAAAAGACTGGTACACCCTGAGAACTCAGAGATACAAAATAATGAGTATAATTACTGTAATCATTTCGTTTATGGGCAGCTTGGGCGTGACTTTCTCTTCCCAAAATCTGCATAGAAAAACTGAGAGGTGTGTCAGGGGAAAAATGTTTGTGCTGCGTGATTCGTCATTATATAATGATCCGTATGTGTGATTCGTCTTATTCTAATGTTATTGTGAACTGAACTTTTTGTCAATATGGTAATGTAATCATCTTTGGTGCAGCTATGGACCCCCAATCTCGTGAGTACCCCGCACAGTGTATCCTGAGAAACACGATTAAGCGCCTTCTCCAAGTCTACAAAACACATGTAGACTGGTTGGGCAAACTCCCATAACCCCTCAAGGAACCTAGTGAGGGTAAAGAGCTGGTCCAGTTCTCCACAGCGAGGACGGAACCCGCATTGTTCCTCCTGAATCCTTGGCTTGAACAATGTTCATGTCTAACGCTGTTTCATGTGCTCCAGTCATTCAGACACCCAGCAACAGTTCACTCGTCTCTTACAATATAAAATGCCAATAAAACACATTTACAAATATGTTTGTACATAACAGTAAAAAGCAAGGAATTCTGCAATGGTTCCATTGACAGTGTCAAAAGTGAAAATAAATGAAAATGCCTCTAACATTTAAATAATAGATTATTGACATCAAAGAAACATTCCAGATTTTTTTTATTACTGTAGTGTTTCTATAGTAAAATGATTCATTATGTTAATTTCTACAACTTGGCCAGGGTTCCTATCCAAATGCTGCTTCACCCTTTTTTAGTTTCATTTATAATTTCAAACCATGTACATGTGCAGAACATGTTTGCACAATGGTCAGCTTTTATTAGCATGTTTTTTTAATTATTTCATTTGTATGTTCCCAAAATTAAAATCAACAAAATTTGCTAAATGATTAGCTGGATATAAATAGATAAAATAAATGAGAAAAAGGGAAAAGTACAATTTGATTTTAAAGTTTGTGGCTTTAATTTCAGTATTGGAGTCTATTTCAATAAAACATGTTGATTTTGTAAAATAAATACATTCACAGTTAAGCAAAAACCCAACAGATGTTGAAGGGCTGGGCTGCATTTTGGCTGACGAGTTGCAGCACGGTGGTTCAGTTGGTAGAGCTGTTGCCTCTCAGCGAACAGGTTGCCCCGGTTCCAAGTCCCGGCCGGGGCCTTTCTGGGTGGCGTTTTCATGTTCTCTCTGTGCATGCATGAGTTTTCTCCAAGTACTCCGGTTTCCTCCCACAGACCAAAAACATGCAAGTTCGGCTGATTGGTAACTAAATTGTCCCTAGGTGTGAGTGAGAGAGTGAATGGTTGTTTGTCTCGTTTGTCTCTATGTGTCCCTGTGATGGACTGGAGACCTGTCCAGGGTGTACCCCGCCCCTCACACAGTGATTGCTGGAAATGGGCACTGGCGACCCCCGTGACCCAAAATGGAAGAAGCGAGTAAAAGATAATGGATGGATGGAAGTTGCATACAGTGGGTTTCTCGTTCACTCATAATTGCCATGCAAGGTACTGCAAATGGGAAAACCCATCTTTAAAGCGTTCTTTTTATATGGGCAATTTTCTTCAAAAATCATATTATAAATAAATATAAATGAAATTATAAACATTTTTATTTATTTTTGTTTTAAACCGAATAAAAAAAAGTTTCCATAGTCTTACTTTTTATTTTTGGATTTAGCCATATTTTCCCCATAATTTCCTAAACTACACAAGAACTCAGATCTTCATGACATCCACGTGCTGGAGGCAGGAGAAGTGCAGCTGTTAGTTATCTAAATTATAAACTGATATTACTTACCTGTGCATAGTAATGCATATCTACACAAAACTAGTTTTTGGCATGAATATCTGGCAACATTTAAAAAAAAAAAAGTATAAATGTGGCAAAGTGAAGCAGTGCGTGTTTGTTGATTTGGATTCTGTATAGGCAAAATCAAAAAAACATGAAAAAAATAATAAAAATGTATTGATGATGGCTTAGCAAAGAGTGACAACACCAAATAATCAGAGCAAGAGAAAGCCTAAATTACAAGTGACCGAACAAAAACATAGCTGCATAACATTAAAAAGACTGATAGATGTAAAACGAAAACACTTCAACATAGTTTAACATGGTCAAACAAGATCTGATGTGATGTGAGGGTGTCGAAATGTAAACTCAACTATTAACATAGAACATGGACGATGCAAAAGCTATTAAAAAAAACCCACACTTTTTATTAAAAAAATTTATTTGCAAGAAATATAACAATGTATTAACAGTAGTGATGTGTGTATATATATATATATAATTTGCACACCTTGGATTATGTCAATTTGTTGAATTTCTCAAAACACAACCAATTCACAAAGTTTTGGAAGTTTTATTTGAAGGACAAATGAACATATCTGTGCCAAATTCTTTATCTTGTTAAAGTTTTGTATGAATTGAGTTTGTGTATATTCCATTAAACTGAATCAATCATTTGAACAGCAGCGACTGTATTTTAGATATTGGGTAAAACACATTAAGGTATAAAATAAACACTAAAATATAAAGTTGAGAACAATTAGTATACTTGCAGATGGTAGGACTAAAATGGCAGAATGTTTGTTTTACTTTTTAAAAGAAAAGTCGAATGTTAAAATCCATGGATGCAAAGACACAGCAGCCAGCACTGTGAAATTATGTAACCTTACAGTGGTGTTTGAAAGTTTGTGAACCCTTTAGTATTTTATATATTTCTGCATAAATTTGACCTAAAACATCAGATTTTCACACAAGCCCGATAAAGAGAACCCAGTTAAACAAATGAGAGAAAAATATTATACTTGGTCATTTATGTATTGAGGAAAATGATCCAGTATTACATATTTGTAAGTGGTACAAGTATGTGAACCTATGGGATTAGCAGTTAATTTGAAGGTGAAATTAGAGTCGGGTGTTTTCAATCAATGGGATGATGATCAGGTGTGAGTGGACACCCTGTTTGATTTAAAGAACAGGGATCTATCACAGTCTGCTCTTCACAACATGTTTGTGGAAGTATATCATGACACAGAGATTTCTGAGGACCTCAGAAAAAGAGTTGTTGATGCTCATCAGACTGGAAAATGTTACAAAAACATCTGTAAAGAGTTTGGACTCCACCAATCCACATTCAGACAGATTGTGTACAAATGGAGGAAATTCAAGACCATTGTTACCCTCCCCAGGAGTGATGGACCAACAAAGATCACTCCAAGAACAAGGTGTGTAAAGTCTGTGAGGTCACAAAGGACCAGAGAGTAACTTCTAACAACTGAAGATCTCTCTCACATTGACTGATGTTGATGTTCATGAGTCCACCATCAGGAGAACACTGAACAATGGTGTGCATGGCAGGGTTGAAGGAGGAAGACACTGCTCTCCATAAAGAACATTGATGCTCGTCTGCAGTTTTCTAAAGATCACGTGGACAAGAAGACTGTTGGAAGAATGTTTTGAAGATGGATGAGACCAAAATAGAACTTTTTGGTTTAAATGAAAAGTGTTAAATTTGGAGAAAGAAAAACTCTGCATTCCTGCAGAAGAACCTTATCCCATCGGTGAAACATGGTGGTGGTGGTAGTGTCATGGTTTGGGCCTGTTTTGCTTCATCTGGACCAGGACAGATTGCCATCATTGATGGAATAATGAATTCTGAATTATATCAGATGATTCTAAAGGAAAATGTCAGAACATCTGTCCATGAACTGAACCTCAAGAGAAGGTGGGTCATGCAGCAACACAATGACTCAACACACAAGTTGTTCTACCAAAGAATGTTAAAGAAGAATAAAGTTCATGTTTTGGAATGGCCAAGTCAAAGTCCTGATCTTAATCCAATCCAGATGTTGTGGAAGGACCTGAAGCAGCAGTTAATGTGAGGAAACCACCAACATCCAGAGATGAAGCTGTTCTGTACGGAGGAATGGACTAAACTTCCTCCAAGTGTGTGTGCAGGACTGATCAACAGTTACTGGAAACATTTAGTTACAGTTATTGCTGCACAGGGGGTCACACCAGATACTGAAAGCAAAGGTTCACATAATTTTACCACTCACAAATATGTAATATTGGATCATTTTCCTCAATAAATAAATGACCAAGTATAATATTGTTGTCTCATTTGTTTAACTGGGTTCTCTTTATCTACTTTTAGGACTTGTGTGGAAAATCTGTTGTTTTTGGTCAAATTTATGCAGAAATATAAAAAAATTATAAAGTGTCCACAAACGTTCAAACACCACTGTACCTGGCAAACATTCCTGTTTGCTTTAAGACCATTATACTTCCTCTGTAGGAAGCTGCAACTTACCTGTGAAGACTGGCATGCATCAAAATCTATAGATTTATTGTATTTTCTTAAAAAAAAAAAATCTGCTAATGAATATGCAGAATTTATGTGCAATAAAGATTTTTCATGTCCAAACTGCTGTGCTTTTTTCTGTTGGTGTTTGTAGAATTGACCAATCACATTCCACCGGGCTTTGGTTCAAATGACATAAACCGACACACGGAGAACAAAAGACATAAAACACTGGATGAAACAGCAGCTTCAGACCACTGGCTGTTGTCTAATGACAAAACATTGGCTGTCCCCAAATGCTGTCTTCAGACAAGAGATAATGGCTCCTAAGACTGGTTTCAGACAATTTAAGCACTACCAACTTTTTTTTCTAGTACTGACATGGTTTCAAATGTATACACATGTAGTTATCTTATTTCAAACGAAACAAAATACAAAACTATTACTGCAGAAGTTTCTGGCACCCAGACCTCAGTTATGGCACAGTCCTACTGCCAGCAATGTAACCCAGACACACTCAAGAGAAGTACATAAAAGCCAACGTGAAGAGAGATCTAACATGGTCTGCCCTGTCTCCAAACCTTCTTCTTTAAACACTAACACATTTCATGTCTCTAACATGAGCTCCGCCCCCACAGCTTCACAGACAGCCAAGGGATAATGAGCAACTGAAACTTGAGGCCAAGCAAAAGAGATAAGAACTAGCAAAAATATTGACATTGCAGAATATTTCAATCATGGCTGTAGAAGTCTGCTTTGACTTGAGGATTATCACCCGCTGTTTGTGTTCTATTTAGCAGCTTAATGAAAAAGTCAAAGTTTGCTTATCTAAGCTTTCCCCAAAAGGAGAACTGACTAAAAACACGCACAGACTGGTGTCAGGACAGGTTGTCGTAAAGCTGCTTTTTCTAACGCCTACTACAAATCCCCATCGCGTTCTTCCCTAACGTCAATGCCATCGTAAAGAAAGGCGTCCTTTTCTGTCGGCGTGGCTTCCAGTTCACGATCAAGCTTGAAACCGTTCATCTCTGTTTCTATAGAGGAGTGGGCCAGAGCTGCCTCAGAGCTGTGATGAATCCCGTAGAAGAAGTAGATTGCTAAACCTGCATTGGAAGAGCAAAACAAAATGTGTGGGGTTTTTTTTTTTGTTTTTTTTAGTATAATCACTTTGTATAATCTCTGCAGAGATTCCAAACAGGTTTGAGATCATTGATGAGGTAATGGGCTCAAAAAGGATGGATCACAGTTTTACTTTGTCAATAACTCATTTTGAACAGAGGGGTCTAAACTTGCACAACAAAGCACTCAAGTCAATTTTTACGTCAGTTTGATGCAATATAACGGTGACGTATAAACTACCTATAGCCATCCAGACTGAAAATCGAACCCAAGTGCCTCGATCCAGCTGCATCATCAGGTAGACATTGACGAACATGCTGATCACTGGGATGAAGGGCACCAGTGGAACCTAAGTTATTGCAGAAGCAAACGGATTTGTGTTAACACGCAGCAAACGCTAACTATAAAGTGCTGAAAGGACTGAGACTCAAACCTTGAAGGAAAGTTTTGTTTTGCTTTCAGGCTGTCTCCATATGATGAAGACGAGAAGGAGACACACCAGGAAGATGATGCTAAGAGCTATGAGGTTCCAGAGGACAACACCTCCCTGCACGGCCAGTACACTGAAAGCCAGGATCAATGTTCCTGCAGAAACACGCACAAGTTTCATTAGTTTATGTCTAATTCTGTATAAAAGAAACATGTGGCTTAACTTTAAAGCAGTGGTTCTCCAACTGGGGAAATGCAGTAAATGGCATCTACTTTATTCTGGGGGAGGAACCCCAGACACCCCCACCCTGTCCCCACCTGCTACTTGCATTCCAGCATTGATCAATTTGCAAATGAAGCCCTGTTACTTGGTATGACTACTGCTGTTATGATTCTGTTCCGTTTTATGTAGAGTTTTATGTACCGTAATGATTTGAAGCAGTGGCGATACATTTATTATGTTCATTCTGTGAATAGGTAAAGTTTTAAAGTGTTGTTGATACTGTTAATTTTCTCAAAACTGTAATCTTTGGAAGTTGAAATTAAAAATGTTGTTAATCAAGTGTGTCTTGAATTAAAAAAAAATCCCCCAATTTTAAAGTGTAAAAATTGTATTAACACTGTTAAGGAGCATGTCTTATGTATTTATATTACGCAAATATTTCCATTACATTAAAGAGACAAATTGAAGAAAATTATTTAATAAACTTGAGGGTTATGAGGGGGTCCTTGAAACTTTTTCTCCCCTATAAGGGGTCCCCGAACCCAAAAAGTTTGAGAACCCCTGCTTTAAGGTAGATACGTTTTCAGTTAACTTGCTTAATATTCGATCATCTAGATTCAAGATAAATAAAGATTTCTGACTTCTCCTTTTGAGCCCTAAAAATGACATTTTAGTAATAGTCACATTTCACCAAGATGAGAGTCAATGGGAAAAATGAGCAGTTGCTCTTTCTGCCTGCAGTGATACACAAAAATAGTATGTATCACCACCAAGTCTCAAGTAAACTGAGGAAGGAAGGAAGAATACATCATTAAATGACGTGTTTATGGTTTGTGCTCTGTTTCATTAAGTTCAGCATTTAGCCATCACATCTTGGGGTTTTGCTGTTAAAAATCACTCAAGAGTTAAAATATTAGTGATATCTTGTGGGCATTACTAAAAATTGCTTAACTCACAATAGTTACACAATAATGTTACATCTCAATATAATTATCATTACTTATAAAAACATAAATCATGTCATCATTAAGTCAAATGAAAAGCCGGGTATGAAAACGTACCCAAGACAGAGGTACAGACGTTGACATTGAAGCCTGATATTGTGGATGGCTCAGTGTTGTTTGGGAACAGCAGTGTCTTGAAGCTGAACCTCTCCTCCACACCAGGCAGGATGCCCATACTGGGGACACTGATGCCATCAACCAAATCTGCCTCCTCATGGCTGTTGGCCATGTGGTACACTGGGTCCATGTGTTCAGGCTGGTATCTGTAACCAACAAACAACATAGCACATGGTTTGGAATTAGCCAGGAGCACAGTCACAATGAAAATTTGTTGTTCGTGAGAACAAACTAAAATCCACATGCAAAAAAAGTACAGGCAGGATAAAACGAATGTCTCATGTTGAACTAACCTGAGCACCAGCACACAGGCGGCCACTAATGTGTAGGCCAGCAGGGTGCCTATAGACATCAGGTCCACCAGGTCCTTCAGGTCAAACAGAAATGCCATGATTGCTAAAATATGTAATAAAGAGGAAAATAGATAGGGATGAAAAATTATCTTTTGATAAGAAAAATGTTCCAGAAATGTGATTAAAAAGTACTATACAGTAGTCCCTCGCTACTTCGCAGTTCGTTTTTTGCAGACTCGCTCTATCGTGGTTTTTCAAAGTAAGATTGGACACGACACACAATGGCTGATTGATGGATGAGCTGCACGATGGGCATGGAATTTGTATTTAAAATTAATTATTTTAAACGATTTAGTGCCTGTGTGCAGCCCACAGCTGTGGAATAAGCTACCTCCTGCAGCTGATCAGCTGATCTCCGCTCTGCACTGAGATCAGAGCGGAGAAGTGGGCGTGGCCAAGAGTGCAGCAGGAGGCAGAGAGCTGCGATCATGACATGCTGTGCTCTTTTAGAGCATTTAGTTTAGAAACATTGTTTAGAATATTGCAAGAGTGTGAGAAGGGTTTAAAATGCCTTATATATATATTTATATATATATATATATATAAACTACTACTTACTATTTGTACTACTATTCCTACTTTGCGGTTTTTCACTTACCGCAGGGCTTCAGGGTACGGATCCCCCGCGATAAACGAGGGACTACTGTACTGATAAACATCAATGTCGAATTAGTTGACAGTCATGTAAAGCTGCTAGTAAAGCAATAAACATTTTGTGAACTGCATAAATCTCCTAAAGTCATCGTCCCATAAGACAATAATCAGACAGGAAACTAGTTCAAGTCATACACTTTATATAGATTGTAAGATATGTTGACAGCAAAGAACAAAACTAAAACAAATTAATTTTAATAATATTTTTTTTTATTTAAGTTTAAATCAGAGGCTTAAAAGGAACATTTTGAACCTTTTGAAGTATGTTTCTGTGGAGTAATTATGAAGAACCAGTGTCTTACCTGCAGTAGACGTCAGAGTGAATTGGAAAATCAAGGACAAGTTTAGAAGTCACGCTAACAGCTAACAGCTAGCAGCTAGCAGCTAACCCACAAAGCATTTATTTCAGAGCAAACTTCTTTCATCTAAAACAACTCAAACCTCACTGATTGCTTAATTTGTAAACGTTTGTCTATTTACATAGACATCTTTGATAATTTACACTTAAGACTTGCAATGTTGGAACAGGGTCCATCGCAACACGTTTTGCAAACCAAAACATCTGATGGAGAAGTCATGTGGTGAAAAAAATCAGATTATAGAAATAACATTATCAGCTATAAACTTTAGAGGTTTGTTTTAGATTATAGAAATGTGCTCTTATATAGGCCCTTTTCTGAGCAGCCATTAGCTTGACTCATGAGAAATTCTCCCTTTCTCCAAAATGAGATTACTCCAACTGCTTTCTACAAGTAAGATACTGACTACTTCTAAGAAGCCCACTTCAAATCATCTGAACTACACCTGAGCTTTGGCTTTTTTTCTGCAGCTTTCTGCACATCTTCTAATGAGAAATCAAAACTAATCGCTGAGGCTGCGCTGATATATTTTTTCAAATCTAATTTTTCCCCATTTTCCCATACCTTCTTTTTCAATTTCATGAACCGGTTCTCTAAATTGTCCTTTTCACATATACAAATCTCTTTTTGCATCTCTCTTTATTTTATTATCCCTCTCCCTCTTACCGGACATGACCCCGGCAGCAACAGTGGAGGTTACCGGGGATTTCCTCTCGCTGACGTGGGCCAAAAAGGAGAAGAGCAGGCCATCTCGTGCCATGGCAAAGATGATACGGGGTAGGGGGAACATGGAACCCAACAGACTGGGGTACAGTGAGGATGAAAAGATCAAATTTGGATGAAAGTTGTAGTTAAAGATTGGAGTTACAAGAAGAAAAACAGGGTAGCAGAGACCAGAAAAAATAGAGAAAGAAGATGGGTAAAGTGTGAGAATGTGCAACAGGACAGCAAGAGCAAGAAGGACATGATGCTGGTCCAAGAAACTTTTACTGTCAGGATGCATGATGCTCCACATGGTGTTACTCGCCAATATTATCTACATTTGTTTGGTTATTTGCACTGTACTGATCTTCTGCTCAGCATATTTCCACTTACGGGGTACATGTGGAAAACATGCCTCAAAGTTTCCTTTTTGAAAAAAGAAACGGAAACAAAGTGGTATTTGGGGAAACCTGTGAACTTTTCATGCTTATGCAGCTGATTTCCCTAAGTAGACAGGCTAAATCATTAAGCCAAGCGCAGTTTATTCTGAAGCGTGAAAAGAGGCTACATGGATGCTGTTTAGAGACATGCGTGTTAGTGTCTCACCTGCCCCTGTGCCAGAAGCGAAGGTTGCATTTAGCGGGGTTTTGGTGCGGGGGCTGATCTCGGCCATGAACTTGAAAAGCAGCCCGTCTTCAGCCATAGCCCACAGAACACGGGGTATAGGGAACATAGCACCCAGCAGGCTGCCATGGGGGGAGACCAGGATATATAGTATCCACACTTACACCCAAGAGAATGCCGTGAGACATACATTAACAGAGACAAGAGCTCACATACGTAAGAAACAGCAGAGTACATGTAGTAGGTATCAAGGCAACAATAGAACATCCAGTGCTGTGCAAAGTCATAAGCCTTCCCTGATTAGTTTTGTTTTATATCCAAGGATTCAGGCTTCCATGAGTCAAAGTGGTCTTGAGCAATAGTTCTCTGTGGCGTTTGAAGGTGTTTTAAAATATTTAAAATTAAAACACTGGGGGTTAATGATTTTATTTTATTATTTTTTTGTTCTTTTCCAGATCAGTTCTAGCATCTGACTGGTAAAGAAATACCGGTACCTGTTTTTGTTCTTTAGGTCAATACTTCCATCTGGGAAGAGCTTCAGGCAGCCCAACTCAAGAACAAATGGATGGAAAAAAAACTCTTTTATCAGCCAGGCCATTAATCAGATTAATTTTAAATGTAACCGGGCTTGATTTTGTCGTTCAACCTGTTTTATTGATATTTGTACATGGATTTTTTTTTTTTTTTTTTACTGTTTGCCAATTTTGTGGTGCGATTGCTTATGTGTTGTGTTTTAATTTCCTTGCTTGCTGCAAGGAACATTTCCCTAAGGGCATAATACAAGTGATGATGAAGATGGAATTCATTTTTTAAGCACAAAAGGCACCAAATTCAGTGGCTGAGAATCAGTTTTGTATTCATACAAGGTTCAAGGTTCTTTATTGTCATTTGCATCACATGTGGTACATAAGGTGGAACTAATCTGTGTACTCAAAGTCCCAGTTACACCCAAAATTAGCAAAAATACTAAGTATAAAAAAGAAACAGTATACAAGGACCTAAGGTATGCACTAAACAATACTAATATAATATAATATGGTGTATTAAACAGCAGCCTGAACATGAGTCTGTTATGAGCAGATGGGTATGAACATAGCAGCTTATGGGTAAGAATCAGCAGCACGGATAAAGTGACATCAACATTTAAAGTGGCATTACAGTGATTTTCCTGTTAGAGATTCGTGAGTCTAACAGCCTCAGGGTAGAAGCTGTTCCTCAGTCTAGCGGTTCTACACTTAATGCTCCTCAACCTCCTTCCTGAGGGGAGCGTCTCGTCCTCTACAAGAGAGAAGCAATTTAGACTCTATCCATCTGTTCAAGATTACCAGTAAGTCACAAAAGCAGAAGGGCCAGATTCCTCTCGATTCCTGAAGAATACTGAGAGGATATACTGTACATGATCCCTACATTCAGTTCTGGGTATTTTCCAAGGTCTCATCTCAATAGGAAATGTTAAAAATTATAATTAAAATAATAAAATAATAAAAACTCCAAAAAGGAGTCAACTAGGAAGTTATCATTTCCTCTAACTACCACAGTTGACTCTTTTTGATGAGTAGGAGCGGCAGCTTTATTACAAGACCCTCTTGGTCGACAGTGCTCCTTAACTTTTGATCTACAACCAAAGCAAGAGTTTGTCTGAAACTTTGACACAAAGGTAAGCTTGTTTCCAGGTTTCTGATGAGGCTTTATCATCCGTCTTGTTTTTGGTGGTTATGGACAAGATCTCAAGGGAGAATCATGCACAGGAGGGTTCTTGGTTTAGAAACCTTAGGGTTGGAGTTGCAAAGTTGACCCTAACGGAGCTGTTAGCTGAAAATAAAACCTACATCAGAAAGATAATCTCCATCTTTCAAGTCACACGTCACAACTTTGCATTTGTTGTTTTATTTCTTCTGATTTTTAAGGATATCCTTTTTGAATACTGCACATCTGAAATTATTATTTTTTTAAATATTGCCACCTCAATTATGTTTTTTTTTGCAACAGTCTACTGGAAATAAAATGCCTGAAGATACAGTTTATAACTGGTTCTCCCTGTGACTGTAAAACCAGCTCATGTCCAGCAAAAACATTTAAAAGACTTTCAGAAAGCCTCAGCAACAAAACATCAGGACACATAAAAAAAATAAATCAGATCCACTTTTGGCTCAGTAGAAGAAAAAAAGAAAACTGGTGACGTTGCACAGTTCTGTCATGTATCGTACAGTGAATACAACACAACAAGCAGAAACCTACAGAAGCATGTTATACAACCACACAATTCAAAATGACTAGCCTGAATTTCATTATATGATGCAAATATATGATATGCATTTTTTTTTCAATTAAAGACAAAGTGCAAAAAATAATATTTCCTTACATATACCAATCTCAAAATGAAGAAAATCGTATACTAGTAAAACTAACTTTAGAAGCCTGTGTTGCACAATCACATAAATTGACTGATACAAATCATTTTCTCAGTAGAGCTGTTATTTTTAGATATGGGGTCAAATGTCACCTTTAGTTAATTTTACACACAGAAACATACTGTTCAGTGCAGGCACACAGATACGTTTGTACATGTCTGAACATGAATGCTTCTATGTTTCTCTGAAGCCTTTTTCACACGTGAGCACCAATGTTCATGTAAATGTTTTGCCCAGAGTTATACTGAACTACTAGAACCTTTCAGGACTGATGTGTATTTGCTAAAACAGCCTCTGCAAGGGACTGTGAATGTCCCTGGCAGAGAAGTTCACGTATAAAGTGCTTACCTGGTAGACAGAGCACAAAGAGAACCCACAGCTACAGCGTATTTGGCTCCTCCCCAGCCCACATAGTTAAAAGCTACAGGCAGAGGGCTGTTGCTGTCCAGAAGATAGTACGGCATCATGAGGGTGAGGGCAGCAGAAACACCAAAGTAGGCTACGAAGCAAATGAGCAGCGAGGACACGATGCCAATAGGAATGGCTCTTTGTGGGTTTTTCACTTCCTCACCTGTGACGTAGAACAAAAACTGTTCAGATCAGACATTGAAGTTCATGCTCAGTAATCCAGGTTAAAAAAAAATCCAACAAAGTTCAGTCAGGTCCTCTGGATGGTTTCTCCAGAAACCATCTTATCACCATCAAACTGGTTGGCCCACTATGTGAGTGTGCTACTTATGGGACTGGGTTTGTTGCAGCTCCTCGGACTGATGAAGTCTTTTGGATGAAAAACGAAACGTTTCGAAGCAAAAAAAAAAAAAAATAACATCCAGAGGACCTGACTTAACTTTGTTGGAGTTCAGATCAGAATTTAAAATAAGGACAAATAAAACGACTCAATCCTGTGAATAGAAGGCATCAAAAATAGCAATCTGCTGTTAAATAAAGACAAGAGGTATAAAACTATTTAACTTTTAAAGAAAACCAAGCAATGTTTTTTTTTTTTAAGGTGTTGATTGAGCCAAACAAAAGAAAAGGTCATTTAAAGACCAGAGTATCTTCACATCTTCAGATTTGGACCTCTGTTACTTGTTCAGCTCAGCTGCAATTTAAAGTTATTTCTACACTGGCACAGCTCCAGAGCACATGGAAAAAATAAACCAAACAGATATGTGTGTGTGAAACAGGTTTTGTGCAATAATTTGCAAGAAAAGGAACGTTTGCTTATATTCCTAGCGGATCCAAAAGAAGAAACGCCCAGCTGCAAGTGATTATGCAACAGGGGTCTCTGGGCAAACATTCAATTCCTGTTCTCCAAGAAAGCACAGCTGACCTGATATAAATTTATGTGACATGCGGGGCTGTGTGTGTGAGGGGGTGGGGTGGTGAGGGGTGGACTGATGCCAAATAATACAAAGACGTTGGGGTGCCTCTAAGTGCGTCTAACAGACATGACACTGCAAGAAAAACTCAAGCGATCATTTCAGGATTTCATTTCATGGCAGCCAATTAAAACGCTGCAAAAAGGAGGGTGGGAGAAACCTGTGGGCCAGAGCGCAGGAATAATGGAAGAAATGTAAACTCTGTTTACCACAACGTGGAGGACTTGGACCATTTACAAAAACAAGCCAAGTAAAAGTCAAGCATTAGAGACCTATTCAAACATGTAGATTTGCAGAGTAGAAAAAAAACGTGGCGAACATGTTCCCCCCGAGGCTCATGTGAACGTTTTCTCTCCTGACGTGTGGCCCAGTGCTTGGCATGCCACACAACAGAAGTAGACCAAATGCATGTAAGAGCAGCTTTTCTCTTTGCGTTGCTACTCTTATGTAATACTTTTGGATGTTGAGACGAGCTGAAAACTGAAACAGTTCCACGTCCAGATTCAGTCGCACCACCCCCCGCCACCCTGACCTTAACTCAACATTGAAAAATACCCATGAGGCAATTAAAACAGAGCTGAGAACTGCAGCAAGAGGAGCAGCTCACTTATCACAGTAAAATGTTATTAAATATTATTTCTAAAATGCACAGGCAAATACAACGTCCCTGGAAGCTAAGTGTGAACCGTACAAGGCTTTGCAATAATTTTGTATACAGCAAACTGTTTCCTAATTCTAACTGGGTATTTCTGTTGATTTTCTTTAGCCATGAGCTAAAATGAGACCATACTGGTTAGTACAAAGCGATTTTGAAATAAATAAATAAATAAATAAATAAATATTTTTAAAAAATGGTGGAGTATGTGGTTGAAGATGCATTTCCAAATATTTTATGATTTTGCCATACATTTGAAACTATAAATGTTGTGCTGTGCTAATATGAAGGCTGTAAACTAAGAGCAGCTTACCAAACCACAAACACAAACGGGCAACTCTTTATTGGGTTAAAAGATTGGGTGAAGATTCTTTCATCACTGACCTGTGGTAGCAATGCAGTCAAATCCTACGAAGGCATAAAAACAAGTAGCAGCTCCTGAGAGCACACCTGACATCCCAAATGGCATGAAGCCACCCATTCCTAAACGCTCCTTGCTGGGCAAGATGTCCGTCAGGCTGGACAGCAGAAGAAATCATATGAAAATACAAAAAAAACAACAACTCAAACTAGAAATATAAAAAGAGACTGTATGAGACACTAAGAAATGAACTAACGTACTTGTGACTTGAGTCGTTTGTATAATTGACATGGAGGATCTCCTCAGGGTCCAGTTGCCAGTTCTTCAAAGTGCCTTTCACCAGGCCAGAGACCACCATGAACAACAGGACTAAGACGTTGACACATGTAAAAACCTTGTTCACCATTGCTGACTCTTTAACTCCAAATGCCAACAGACCTACAAATATCAATGAAGAAAAAATAAATCTCAATGGTAAATATCCACCCCTGGTTTAAAGTTCATCACCAAGATGTTGCTTACAAGCATAAAAAGCTCAACGCAAAGCAAATTTAAAAGACGAGGAGACATGCAGGTAAAAAGAGTCCCTTACCTGTAAGAGTAAATATGATGAGAACAGCAAACATGTCAGGGTACTCTGCCAGTACACCCCGTGCATTCATGGACATGTACTCTCTGCAAAACAGCTCTATACGCTTCCCTACCAACTCATCGAAGGTGGCGCTCCACGCACGGGCCACACTGGATGTACCTGGCACAACAAAGAGCTCAATTCTCTACTTCTACATCACAAATACAACTTCTTGTACATCAAAGCAAAAAAGAAACAAGATCATGGTGCTGTACGTTTACCAATGATGTAGGAGAGAATGAGGTTCCATCCGGTGATAAAGGCCCAGAGTTCTCCTACAGTCACATAGGAGTACAGATAGGCTGAGCCAGTCTTGGGGACACGAGCTCCAAACTCAGCGTAGCAAAGGCCAGCCAGCACTGAGGCTAAGGCTGCTATCAAGAAACACAGCACAATGGCAGGACCTGGAGCGTTGCAGGGAGGACATAATACGATTGTTAGCTTTAAATCATTTTTCACAAGCTATACACTTTTTAAATCAACCGCAGTGATGTTAACTTACCTGAATTATCTCGTGCCACAGCACCAGCCAGCACGTAAACACCAGCGCCCAACGTGCTTCCAACACCCAGAGCTACCAGGTCAAAGGTGTTGAGACATCGAGACAGGCGAGAGTCCTCCGAGTTGGAGTTGACCACTTTCACCCTGAGCAACTGCTTCCCAAAGTGTAGAAGCTTCTCTAAAACCATGATCCACAATCTGACCTTGGGGAGGGTGAGAAGGTCTTCCGGGGTTCAGCAATCACACGGAAGAAAAGGTGAGGCCGCACACACCCTAAAGGAGAGGCACAAAGTTTGAAAGATAAAACTGATGGGTGAACGTGAACATCCAGAACGGTCTTGATTCTGTAGTTGGTTTGAAGGTGTCCATGTGATCATATGGAGAGTATAAATGCAGTCACATTTCAAAATACAAACTGGCTGCACAAGAGTTAATCCTTAATAAACAGGTCAGTTTAGAAAGGGCAAACTGTTGTAAGAACATGATTTCCTGAGGCGTTACATAAAGTAAATCCATTATGTGTGACTGTTAGCAAAAGGTGTGTGTGTGGGGGGAGGGGGGGGAGGGGTGTCTATAGGGAAAACAAAGGTATTTGGTGGACATATTTAAGCTGTTACATAACACAATACAACTCAGAGGCATTTTTCACTTAAATTAAAAGCTTAAAGGTTTAAGCCAATTTGTAGCCTCAGAATCCAAACAAGAATGAAACCTTTAGTTTCACAAGCAAGCTTAAAAGACAGAAATACTATCAGAGTCAGAGTCTCTTTATTTGTCATTTGCACCCCATGTGGTACATGTGGTGGAACAAAATTGTGTAAACAGGGTCCCAGTTACATCCAACAATAAAATGTAAAAGAAAAACAGTAATAAGATCTAAGCTATGAACTAAGAAAAACATTAACTAAAAATACACTAAGCACTAGTAGCATAAAAACAATACGCCGAACAGCAGCATGAACATGAGTCTGTGTGAGCAGATGAGCACACATGAACACATCAACATGAAACAGATCAGCAGCAAGATGATGTGATTTTTCACAGTGATTATTCTGGTTAGAGATTCATGAGTCTAACAGCATCAGGGTAGAAGCTGTTCCTCAGTCTAGTGGTTCTACACTTAATGCTCCCTAACCTCCTTCTTGAGGGGAGCGTGGCAAAAAGTGAGTGTGCTGGGTGAGTGGGGTCCTTCACGATGCCGGTGGCCGTCTTCCTGCATCTGGAGGTGTAGATGTCTGTGATGGTGGGGAGGCTGACTCCAACAGACTTCTGTGCAGCCTTCACCACTCTCTATGATCTTGTAGTCATCCTATCAACCAGTATTATGGTATAACCCCAGATTTAGTGCCATTTTTAAAATAAATTATTTTCTGTACTATTATTATGCATACTCATACGTTGTTTCCCATTTCCATAATGACGTTCTATTTTCTAGGAAAACCAGCAGACCTCTGATTTCATAGAAATACACAAATATAAACGATGTATTAATGAGGTGCCGACCTATGTAACGACTTCAGAACAAATGAGCAAAGAAACAAAATTCAACTAAAAAGGTGTTGTGTTGGAAAGTCAACACAAAGATGACACTAAGAGAGAAATGCAAACTCACTATCAAGTGAATATCAAGAAGTATTTCTTAAATGGTTGTTGAAAAGTTTCTCTTCATCAGCAGTCAATATGTCATGCACATTTATCTGTACTGAACTCACACATCAAAAGGTAATACTTGGCATTTGGTTGTAAAATATGGAGTGCAGAAAGGGGAATGAAAAGCAGTGAAAAAAGAAAATGAGAGGGAATAAATAAGGTGTTGAGTGATATCGGTAAAAATGAAGGTAAAGGGACATTGTGTCTTTTGGTTAAGACACTGTCCCAAAGAAAAAAAGTTTGGACTGAGTGCATGAAATGCAGTTACATAACACTGCAACACATTTTGAAGGTAAAGGCACCTTGTTAGAACCTTCTCATATGATGACATAAACCCAGAGCGGTCAAACGAACAGCGCAACAATCCTGTTCCACCTCATGGAAACTTACACACAAGGGCAAGTTAAGGTAAACTTGAACTTTTTTCTACTCCTTGCAACAAATTTTCACGTGCAAATCTTCAACCTAAAATGTTAGTTCAAATGGGGGAAAAAGGAATACTAAGGTTTTAAGTGTTATAAAAAGGTCCAATAAATATAGAGATAAGAATAAGATCAGAGATGAAGTCTCCTCTCCTACATTTTTTTTTTAATTAACATTTATTTAACCAGACAAAGCCTGAGATCACAGATCTTAGTTGAAAGAGAGGTCTAGGCCTGTTTATTACAGGCATGCTTAATTCAGAACTGAATTCAAAATCTTTCTTACCTACAAAGCTCTCAACAACCTAGCTCCATCTTATTTTAGAGATCTTATTGTGCCATATTTTCCTAAGAGAGCACTTCACTATCAGACTGCAGGATTACTTGTGGTTCCTAGAGTTTCCAAGAGCAGAATGGGAGGAACACTGGTGAAGATTCTCAGTTGTCCACAACATGGTGAATTCAAAACAGTTCAAGCCCAAAACAAATGGACTTTATTTGTAACAAAAGACATTCCGCGTCTCACCTGAGAAGCTTTCTCGAGAATGGGAGGAAGATCTTTCAGTTATCAGGCTCCTCTCTTGTGGAACCAACTTCCAGTTTCTGCCCGTGAGGCTGACACATTGTCCAGTTTTAAGACTGGGATTAAGACTTCCTTTTTGATAAATCCTATAGTTATGGTTGGCTTGTTATGCTGCCATAGGCTTAGACTACTGGAGGACAAATTGACCTAATTTCCTTAAATGAATTGTTACAAATGAATAGTTTTCATTTTATATTATTTCTATCTTAACACGTGATTCTTATCTTGCCATTGTGTATCTATTCCTCCTTCCTGTTCCTCTCAAACTGCGCCGGTCGAAGCAGATGACCACTTGTCCTGAGTCTGGTTCTGCTAAAGGTTTCTTCCTCATGAGGGAGTTTTTCCTTTCCACTGTCGCCTTCATGCTCGCTCACGATGAGAGTTCTGCGATAGCAGTCTGCTCCTCAGATAAATACTGTTATTAACTTATATGAACGTTTCTGTTCAGTGCCCTGAGATGACTTCTGTTGTGACTCGGTGCTATATAAATAAACTGAATTGAATTCAAAGTCTTTCCATTACTATATTCAAACAAACGAGAAGTCAATGGTTTCAGTACGCCTCTCTTACTGTGTTGTACAGGTCAATATTGTTCACGTGATCAACAAGACAACTGGTTATCTGTTATGTGTAAAGAATTAAAAAGGTGCAGGCTCTCTTCTTGCCTGTCCTTAGAGACACAATGTGATGATGTCCATTTTAATCAAAGATGAATTTGTAGTGTGCTAAGTAATCTAGGTATATATCCTTTAGATCAAAGGCTAGAAAAACTGGAATATTAACTCTCTGGAGAACTCCTATGTTCAGTGGGACAGAACTAACCTAGCCTGACCCAAAATATTATTAGCAACACAAAACATCATGGAAGTTTCATTTGGTAAAGGTGAACCCACTTCAAAGATTCTGTGACTGGGAGAAACGTCTTTTACTACAACAGGTTAAAGTAAAGTCAGTAAACAAATGACATTCCTTGTGACCGCCATAAGACCTTAAACACTACCGAAGAATCCGGTTGCAGACATTGATTGATTGATCCAAACTTTCATTAGTGAATTGTGTTACTTACTGTGTTATGACCCAATGAGAGTTGCTTGACTCTGCACCATCAACAAATCTCATATTGCTATATATGAAAAATCTGTGCAATTAAAAAAATCGTACGATAAATAGTCCGATCTAAATCTTTTCAAATTTATCAGGATTTTGTAATAGATATTAGAGGCCAACAGGAGACCAAAAAAGTCATTATAAATGCAATACTAATTAGTTTTTGTTTGTATTCTGCTGAAAGCAGCAGTCTCAATATTCTGATGTTATTATAAATTTACGTTTGTGCATACTGCATGATCCATATATCTGCCAGCAACTCAAAGAAAAAAAAAAGACAGCTGAAATTTGGTTTATTAAATTACCTTGGCCACTACTCGGTGTGCTTGCACATGTGCAACTCACGTGAGGTAACGTCAACCTGCACTAGATTTAAAAGCACGCATCTGTCTTTGAAAATGACTAAATCTAAATTAAATTAATGCTACAGTAAACAAAAATCAGTGGTATGCGTAATAACATTAGGCTCAGTTTGTTTCCTGCACTGTAATACACTGCACGAGGGGCTAAATTTAAATAAATGCTGCATTTCTAGGAAATAAGATAGTTTGGTAAAATTCATGGATGAGTCGATTATGAAAAAAAAAAAAAAAATCTAGTGTAAAGCTATTACACAAAAAAAATATTGTAAAACTCTGAGCTAAACCGGCTGCAACAAGACCAGAGAGATATTGCCTCATGTCTCATTCTGCCAAGAATAACTAGTTTTTACAGCAGCTCACATGCTCCATTATTGGTTCTATGAGTTAATAAAATAAAGTTTATAGTGGAATATTTGTTATATGATTAGTGGAAGCTGTAATGCTCTTTAAGAAACAGCTACACACATTATACACAAACACACACAGACTCAAATGTAAGAGCTACGGTAGCTAATAAGAACCAGATGACCTCCTTCACTGACCCAAGTACATACGTTAAGCAACTGCTGACGTTTTTCTGCGAATACAAAAGACGAAACCAAAAGCCGACAGCATAAATGTGACAGAACAACCTTCAGTGTGTGAAACAACAAACGGTAAAACACACCTGCGGGAGATCCTATCAAAATGGGAAAAACTCGTTCCTGCATCGCAAGAACAAGGCAAAACATGGAGTACTTGTACTTACCCAACAACAATTACAGTCGTGCCCAAAAAGAAGAAGGTTCAAAAGGACGATGTCAGATTTGATGCAAAATGGCTGGTTTTTTTTGTTTTGTTTTGTTTTTCTGAGCTGGTGTGTGGACTGCAGTTCATTTGACAGGCTGCATTTTAAAATAGAACATGAAAGAATCACATGGCATTGCTATTCCAAGCAGCACGCAGTCGTGCACACACACGCGTGCACACTGTCACAACGTAGTGGTCGTTTGAACCCAGTTAATCTACAGGAGCAGACACTTTTTCTTTCCTTATCGCCCGCCTCAAGAGTGCGAGAGATGACAGCGTTTACGACCGTGCGTGTGTGCATGTGTGACTTTGAATGGTTGTAGCGTTAGCAA